TTTCAATGGGAATATATAAATATGTGTATAGCATTCTTTTTATGACTAAACCTTATAGCTTAGAAATCAAGATCCTTCTATATGAATATGCATGCTTCTACAGTGGTCTTTTAAATGCCAAGTATAAAATTACACTGAAATTTCATCCAAGTATATTTAATTATTTCCTTCTCAACACTGCAACTAGTGTTAGTCAATACCATATATTTGCAATTACAATTATTTTAGTAACTTCAAGTTACTTTAAATATAAGTTTTATATGTTAGATCATTATGCTGACACATATATATTTCGTCATTTTTCAAATTTCTGAAATATTTGAATGTAAATGTTAGGTGACAGATGAGGACAGAAAATAAAAAGTCAACGTTATTTATTAGTAAAAGAAAAACATAAAAGAAAATGCTTTTGGGGATAACTGTAGTACAAAAAACGCAAAATCTTACAATAAACTAAACAAAAGTAATTCTTATTGAAGCATAAGTACATACACCAGAATATAAATTTGAAAGATGGCAAGATGAGTGATAATGCTTAATGAAGAACAATGCAAATAAAGTTAAGGCTACTGTATCTTAAATTTAAAATAGCTAAAGTATAATTTTATTTTATGTACACTTTACCACAATACAAACAGTAGAAATAATTTTTAAAAGCAATGCAGGACAGCTGAAAGAGTCTTAAACCAAGACAGACAAGATCAAACTCAAGCAGTGGTTAACTATACGGTCTTAGTTTTTTTCACTGTTGACAGAAAAAGGTTGTAATAAATGATGTCGATATTTGCTTTCAATTCAAAACATTCTATAAAAGTACATCATAATACAAGCCTGAAGAACCAAAGCTGAAAATTAGGTTGATGCCACTAAGATGAGGATAATGAAATTAACACTCTTGTAAATTCTTAGGAGTTTTAAAATACTCAATAAAAAAAAAGTTAATCACAAAAGCAGACAGAAGAATAAAAGCCAACATTGGAAATTAAGATACAAAGCAATCAACTAGGTTTGAGCCTTCTACTCTGGTACAATTAATGGCAGGGCAGTTGAACAAACTAAGCCCTATGTGGTTACTTATTATTTATTTGTCTAACAAATATTATAGGCTCTTCTTATTTTTTTTTCTTTTTAAAGACAGCATCTGACTATGTATTTCTCAGGCTGCCTTCTAACATCTGGGCTCAAGGGATGTGTCAGCTTCTATTCACACTTAGACTTGAAGGTCTCAATTTCCATTAAATTTGAAAAGATTTTTTAAAAAAAAAAAAAGAAAAGATTTTTTTTTTTACCCTGGTGATATTCTGAGCTAGGTCAGAAAACAAGAGCTTCAGTTTCAGTTCTAGGGAGGCCAACTAATCAGTACATGCCTCACTTGAACTTCAGATACTAGATCACACCATGAACAACTAGAACCAAGTTCAAAATCTTTTCATTAACACCAACTCAAAGACAGACTCCACTATAAGGATATCCCTCCTACAAGCAGACTGTTCAGCATTGTCGCTAGTTAAAATCAAGCTAGCTAGCATGGGGCTAAGGAATTACTCAATATTAAAGAGAAATATATATTCTCATTTTTTAAGTATGACAATGACTTACTAATACTTTTAAGGTTATTGCTTATATGTCATAAGCTAAGAGGGGGAGGGAAGGAAGAAGGGTGGAGAAGAGGGAGACTTAAAGCTGGGAAAATCTGACTGCCTTATTAAGTACATTCTTTAAATAAAATGTTCAACCAGTGGCAGATTATAAATTGTGCATGATAAGACTCAGAAATTGAGAATGCCTAAAATTCTATCCAAATCAATATTCACTAATTCTATGAGATCAGTATTATAATCTCTACATACTATTGACTAATCCTAGCAAAGTTCATTTATCATCTTTAGTATTTATTAATCATTATTGTAACTGGCCAGCACAAAAAAGAAAAACATTGCAATTTAAATGAATTATTTCAAAGCACTAATACTATGTAAAGGACAATAAAAATATCACCAAAATAATGTAGCAGTGCTTTTAACTACTCTCAGCAATCTCAGATTTCATGCTTTTAGCATTTAGATTTTTTTAGATTTTAGACTTCTAATTTGACAATCTTTCTATTTCTAGTAAGTCCTTTTTGAATATTTTTATTATTTTAGGGAATTGTACAAAGGAATTGCCATTCAACAAAGCAGTTTATAAATACAGTGCATCCTGATGAATGGTCACCCCATTCAATAATCTTACTCACCCCTCCCAATCCTTCCCCAAATTTAGGTTATTTATGTATCAATTTTTTAATTGACTTTAGGTTACTTATGTATTTTTTTCCTTTTAACAAAGTAGTTTATGTACACAATCCATCTTGATCTGAGGCATCAACATCTTCATCCCCCTTCCCTTTTATTTCTCAATTCTGTGGTATGTCCAATGAATTCTTGCCTGCATTCTCCCCACTTCGTCCTTCATTCTTTTACTCTTCTCTCCCTGCCCCTCCCTCACCTCTTGCAAGTGTTTGTTTTCTGGTACTTATTTTGTTGGGCTTTGGCTTAGTCTTTTTAAAGAATTGCACTATTTGTCCTCTCAAGAGAGTCTATCACATTTCAGTTAATTCATTTGCAACCTTTTGCTTATCACCTAGTATGTTTACTTATGGATTTTTAGACATATTCTAGCCTACACAAATGAGGGAAACCATGCACCATGTTTTTCTGGGTCTGGCTTACTTGTTATAAGGTTTTCCAAGTCTTTCCATTCCATACAAATGATACAATATAATTCTTTCTGATGGATGAATAGAACATTGTATACATATACCATATTTTCTTGATCAGTTCATCCACTGAGGAGTATTTGGGCTGATTTCATATCTTGGCTATGGTTAATAATATCCTTAAAACACATTTATTTTAGTGTTCAATTATTTATGTAAGGAATATAATTCATTTAGAAATTTTGGCTTAAAAAATTGAGTTTTATATAGTAGACTACAGTATTTTACAGAGTAGAAATTATTTCTGTCTTGTAAAAGAAAAACCAGAATATATCTAATATTTTTCAGAAATACTTATAAAGATTGAGAATAACAGAAGGTACTATAACAAATCTCATGATATTTCTTAAGGGAAAGGAATGTAACCTTATAAAAGAAATACAGGATGGGAAGGGGAACAAAGGAGGAGGCAACAATGCTTGATAAGAAATGTACTCATTACCTTGCTCATGTAATTGTAACCCCTCTGTACAGTATTTTCACAATAAAAAATAAAATAAAATAATTTTTAAAAATTAAATTAAATTTAAAAAAAGAAATACCAAACAAAGAAATAGGTTGACCCATTGTAACAATGAGATGTACAAGATACTATGTAGAAAACGAACTTTACAACTTGAGGGGGGAGGAGGGAGGTTGGGGAAGGGATGCTAGAGAAAAAACAAGGGGGAGGTAACAATGCTCCATAGGAAATGTACTCACTACCTTATTCATTTAACTGTTACCCCTCTGTGCACTATTTTTACAATAAAAAACATTTTAAAAAAAAGAAAGAAAGAAAGAAATACAGGCTGGGAGCCGGTGGCTGACACCTCTATTTCTAGCTACTCTGGAAACTGAAATCTGAGGATTGCAGCTTGAAGCCAACTTGGGCAGGAAAAGTCTGTGAGACTCTTATCTCCAATTAACCACCAGAAAACCCAAAGTGGTGCTATGGGAAGAAAAAAGTTCAGGAACAGCACCCAGGCTGTGAGTTCAAGCCCCACAACCAACAAAAAATAAAGAAAAGAAATATAGAATATAAAATTTAGTTCAAATACAACATTTTATGTAAAGTCAAATAAAAGTTAAATCCATCTTTTTATAGTAAGTGGCCTGCAAGGACTACAAATGAATAATTATAAAACAAAATCTGCCAACAGTAACTTTGAAATGGCTTACTTTTACAGAATTCCTTTTTTTAAAAAAAACTTCATTACAACTACTACTTTCAGTTAATTTTCTAGATTAACTGGTAAGTTTCCTAGAAATGTGGGAATTTACCCTACAAATTTCATTTTATAAGTTATATATTATTAAAAGAACTGAAGAATTTAGATAAATTAACATTTACTTTTCTAGAAATCATGCTATTAATTAAAAAATAATGGAAAGCATATTCTACAAAAATAAGGTTACTAATTTAAATGACAAAACAAAGACACATTCTAAATAATTGAAATAGTCTATATTTTAAAATGAATAAAGATTTTACTAGAAAATACTTTCATATTTAAACATTATTTCATCTACTTAAACAATGTATTTAAAACATTACATTTAACTAAAGACATACAAGTAGTAAGCATTGCCTTGTTTGTAAATGTCTTTGCATTTAAGAAAACATTATCTCTAAATAAAACGAGATAATAAGCATTAAAATTCTACTTTAAGAAAAAGCTACTAAACTTGTCAAATATATTGTATCTAGCTGTATTATGATGAGAATACTAACTATAAAATAATTTAATAGGGGCTGAGAAGGTGGCTCAGTGATAGAGTGCTTGCCTCACATGTATGAGAGTTCAATTCCTCAGCACCACATAAGCAGAAAAAGCTTGAAGTGGCACTGTGGCTCAAGTGGCAGAGTGCTAAGCTTGAGCTGAAGAACTGCGGGACAGTGCCCAGGCCCAAAGTTCAGGCCCCACAACTGACAAAAAAAATTTAATAGAAAAACATGTTGGCCTTCACAGTAACTGTAACTATTTATTAAATCATAATGGCTTTTAGAAAAAGGGCACTGTATTGATAGCTTCTGCTACTATCTGAAGCAGCAACATTTTATTATACCTCCACATTGGATTAACAGTTACTACTCCATGCATAGTTATTACTATCACTAAAGATGCTGTGAGCTAACACATTTCAGACATTATATAGTTTTTTGCTAATTTTGTAGACATCTAATATAGGGAATAAAACAGATACATCTGGATTTTTCCTTTCTAAAATTATAAAAGGAAAATTGACATATAATACTTACCAGCAAGTGGGGAGTTTCAGGTGTTTACCATAAAGAGCAGTGCTGAAGGAGGGAATGATTTGGACGGGTAAGCAGTAAGAACCATTATAATCCAAAGATGTCAGTCCTGCCTGGAAACCAAATATCTGAAACAAAAGGAAAAGATTCAAATGTTCATAAATGTTTAACAAGCACAAAGATAAAAAACATCAGTTTCCATTTGCTATAAAACACCTTCACAATAAATATGTTCCAATGTCTTTTTCCACTTCCCTATCAATACCTTTTATTCAATTAGATATTAGCTATATCAAAATCAAGAAAAGTTCGATCAAATCCTAAAAGTATGAAAACATACTATACCACATAAGTATCAAATATAAAATTAAATAATCAAGACAAGGACTCAAGCTTTTTTTTTTTTTTTTTTTTTGCCGGTGGACCTGAACTCTGGGCCTGGGCGCTGTCCCTCAGCTCTTCAGCTCAAGGCAAGCTCTCTACCACTTGAGCCACAGCGCCGCATCCGGCTTTTTCTGGTTATGTGGTGCTGAGGAATCGAACCCAGGGCCTCATGCATGCAAGGCAAGCACTCTACCACTGAGCCACCTTCCCAGCCCTCAAGCTTTATTTTTAAGTGAATCTTTTTTTTTTTTTTTTTGGTCTGGTAGTGGGGCCTGAACTCTGGGCCTGGGCACTGTCCCTCAGCTCTAGGCTAGCACTCTACCACTTGAGCCACAGCGCCACTTCTGGCTTTAAGCTTTATTTTTAAAACATTGAATACTCTATATACCAATGAAAGGTTTGTTACATATACTACCTTTCCTATATCAATGTTCTTTCAAAGAACTCATTAGTCTTTTAAAGTGCTCATATTAAAAGGGCTTTCATACTGCTTATAAATATCATTATCAATAATAGGTAAAATTTTCAAAAATTATAATTATCATTAACTTACAAGTATCAGTCATTTGGAATTATCCAAACATACTTTTAAATACATACATTAGTTTTATTTAAATTATATTGGAGTCATAAAGAAAGCTTAATTTATTAGAATAAATTAGAAAGCTAAATTTATTAGAATTCTACTAATTACGTGAAATTACAACCTCCAACAACAAGGAAAAGTACTCAAAACTTTCAAAGCATTAATGAAAAAGGTATTAATGAAGAAAGAAATTCACTTTCCATACCTTAAGGTAGCAGTGTGCATAGCAGTAATGAAGCAGATTATCAGAAGCTTGAGGCAGGCTGCTGACCATGTGCACTAACTGTTCTGCATACATCGGGACAGAATGTTCCATATTAACTTTATCCACCAGTATCTGAATGGATGGCAAAGGCCGAAATGACTGGAAGTTTGTAGTATTCATGAAGCTACTTGAGTTCTGGAAAATAACAGTGACCATTTTATATTTTAAGATTGCTATACATGTCCCTTTATACAAACTTCAGACTTGTATATGTTGCAGTGATATATTACATATATACCTTTTCTCCCATAATGACAGGAAGCAAATGATCTAGCAAGTTAAACTCAGCCATAAAAATCGTGCAGGTACATTTAAGGAAAGTAACACTTGTATGTCGAGTAGGAATATATTCCTCCAGAGAAGCTACTTCTTCAGGATTCAGAATAGTTGGATTTTCATCTTTAATTTCTAAAATGAAAGTTAACAAAAATATTTTAAAATAATTTTCTTAAATTGAAAAATGAGTTAATCATTTCCCCAAATTTTAAAGTCAAATTCCATTTCACTTTTGAGTAATGAAGCAGTTGCAAAATAAGCTACTTTAAAATGAAGTATATATTAATCTAAATATTGATATTTTAGCCATATAAAAATTAAATAACTTATTTTTAAATATTTTGAAAAGGCCTTTCTCTTTTGAAGAATAATAACTTCCATCAAATAATAGCTTAGTCATGAAATATCATTTAGATCAGGTTAAGGTGAGACACAGAGTAAGAGAAAAATTATTTGCCATCTATTTAAAGGTGAAAAGATACACAAGCAGAGATCTCCACAAAGGACTTATATCCATAGCATATTTTAAAATATAAAAATGTATAGAAATCATTCAGAAATAGATAATGCAATAGAAAAATAGACACAAAAAAACACTTGGATGAGCAAAAGAAAATATACCTAAATGACCAAAGGTTGTACCAAATGCTAGTCAACATTATTAGGCATGAGATATGTGTAAATAGTCAAACGTGATAAAGAACTACACAAAGACTAGAAATATTAAAATGAAAAAGACAAAGAATACTAAGTTTCAAAACGCATGTAGAAAGCCGGGCACTGGTGGCTCACGCCTGTAATCCTAGCTACTCAGGAGGCTGAGATCTGAGGATCGCCGTTCAAAGCCAGCCCGGGCAGGAGAGACCGTGAAACTCCTATCTCCAATAAACCACCAGAAAAGCGGAAGTGGCGCTGTAGCTCAAGTGGTAGAGCGCTCGCCTTGGGCTGAAGAGCTGAGGGACAGCGCCCAGGCCGAGTTCAAGCCCCACGACCGACAATAAATAAATAAATAAATAAATGAAAAATAAAAACAGGACAGTTTGAAAAAAAAATTTTTTTAAATCAGAAAGAACTCCCTCATTCATGGGTAGCAGAATTAATACTGTGACAAGGTCATACTACCAAAGCAATGTACAGAATCAATTCAATACCCAAAAAGTCCAAATGTCATTCTTCACAGAATAAAAAAAAAAAATCAATTAAAAAATTTATATGGGAACATAACAGAAGTAATGCTAAATTGCAGAAGTAATGGCAGAAGTAATCCTAAATTAAAAAGAACAATGCTGAAGATATATATAACTGAGATATATATAACTGAAGATATATATAACTGAGCTTCAAAATGTACTACAAAGGGCTGGGAAGGTGGCTCAGTGGTAGAGCGCTTGCCTTGCATGCCTGAGGCCCTGGGTTCGATTCCTCAGCACCACATAAGCAAGAAGAAAAAAGCTGGAAGTGGCGCTGTGGCTCAAATGGTAGAGCACTAGCCTTGAGCTGAAGAGCTAAGGGACAGTGCCCAGGCCCAGAGTTCAGGCCCCACGACCGGACCCAAAAAAAAAAAAAAAAAAGTACTACAAAGCCAAAACATACAAAAAATAGAACTAAAGACCAATGCAACAAATCTGAAGACCCAGGTCAGGGCAGAAACAACCTCACAGTCCCGGCCATCTAATTTTGAAAAAAGGATCCAAAGCATATACTGGAAAAAGATGGTCCCTTCAACAAATGATATTGGCAAAACAGACATCTATTTTAATAAAAAAAAAAAAAAACTTCTAAATTAGAATTCTAGAACAATTCCAATTTTTCCCTTGACTATTAAGATTACTTTACAAGGTCTCTTTGGGTTTGGTTTTTACAAGGTCTTTATAATGTAATCAAAGTCTCTCAATAATTCAAAATTCTCCTGTCTCCCAGGTGTTAGAATGACAAATGACACTATATCTAGCTGTATCATCATTTTTATATACCCAAATCACTATGCAACATAAGGATTTCCTGCATATTAAACTAAGGTCACCTAGCAGTGTCTTTATGTAAATCTATTTTTAGATAACCAAATGGCTTAAATAAAGATTTATTGCATAGTTCCACCACAGGAAAAGTTGCTGGCTGCCTTGGTGCACTAAATGGCTCCTTTCATTTACCACTAAAATGCTCCAAATATCTGTGAGATGTATGGACTTTTCTAGAGATTACCTTGAAGCTAGGTATGAGGACATTTCATAATAGGTTGACAGAGCTAAGTTATTAAAAGGAAACCACATGTCTATGATTTTTTCTTAGTCTACTTTATTGTATTCAAAATTGAGATAAATGGCTGGAGGTTAGGAATAGGGAAGGAGCTAAAGGAAGATTGGATAAGTTTCAAACCATAGTTAGATAGAATGAATGAGTTTTGGTGTTCCCGGCTATAGTTCACAATAATAATAATAATCTGCTGCATATATAATGAAGATGTAGAAAAAAGGAGCTTGAAGGTTTCAAATAAAAAGAAAGAAATAGAAAATGCCAATTACCCTGATTTGGTCAGTATATTCTATATGCATGTTTTGATATACCACAATCAGACATGCATAGATTTTGGGGTTTGTTTTTTTATTTTGTTTTGTTTTTTTGGTCAGTCGTAGGGCTTGAACTCTGGGCCTGGGCACTGTCCCTGGGCTCTTCAGCTCAAAGCTAGTGTTCTACCACTCGAGCCACAGCGCCACTTCTGGCTTTTTCTGTGTATGTGGTACTGAGAAATCAAAGGTGGGGCTTCATGCATGCTAAGCAAGCATCTACCACTAGGCCACATTCCCAGGCCACATACACAGATTTTTGACAAAGCTACATAACAAGTTCAATGGAGGAAGGATAGGTATTTCAACAATGATATTTGCTGAATCAAGAGAATTGAAAAAACAAACAAATTTCTACATAAACTTCAATCATCATGAAGAGAAATCAACTAAAAGCAAAAATCACAGATTTTTAGAAAAAATTTTAAAAAAAAATCCAATTTAAAATGGGCAAAAGATTGAATAAATATTTCACTAGAGAAATAAAAATAAAAATATTAAAACAGCAAATAAGAAAAAAAGAGGTATTCTATATTAGTCAGTAAGGAAATACTATTTTAAACTACAAAAAAGACAAGATTGCCAGTTAAAATTACAGGTCTAATAGAGTGACTAAAAATAAAAAAAAAAGAAAACCTGGAGCACACATTCCTTGCTAATGGAAATATAAAAGTTCACAGGCATTACTAAAAAGAATTTTGGAATTTCTTTTTAAAAAATTAAATATCCAACCACTATATAACCTAGCAATTGCACACTTGAGCTTTAATTCCAAAGAAATGAAAATTTATGTTCACATAAAAAGTTTTATTATAATAGCCAAAGGCGAGATTCCTTCTAAATGTCCTTCATTGTGTGATTAACTTTACAAACTGTAGTACATACACACAATAAAACACTTCTCAACAATAAAAACAAAATGCTGGTGTAAACAACTTAGATAAACTTCCAGAGAATCACACATAGCAAAATAAGCCAATACTAAAACCTTATATTATAAATTATACTACTTAATTAACATTTGTGAAATGGCCAAACTGTAGAAATGCAAGACTAATAATTTCTAAGTGTTAGGGGTAAAGGAAAAGAGAAGTACAAAGTAAGGAGATAAAAGTTTTACAGGAACAAAACCTTTACAGTGTTAGAGATACATTTTTCAATGTGGTAGAGCAGAAGCTTCAACAAAAATAGTGGTTAATTCTTTGCACACAATTTGAGTCTAAAGGAACCTGATCTGACATCATGCTACCACAAGTCCTGAGATTTTAAGTTCTTTTTATCTTACTGCTCTGCTGCTATCCTTAACATACAGCTTTCAGTTCCAATTTCTGCCATTATTTCTGCTTTCTAGACAAAAGGAAGAGGAGAGAGGGATATGATCTTTTTGTTAGTCATGACTAAAATTCCAAAATTCAGTTCTCATCCCAGTAGCCAGAGATAATCATATGAGTACATCTGAGATAGTCTTTATATTTGTTATAAAAATTTATATTTCAAGTCAGTCACTAATGGCTCACACATGTCATCCTCACTACTTAGGAAGCTGAGATCTGAGAAACATGGTTCAAAGCCAACTCAGGCAGGAAAGTCTAAGAGACTCTTATCTCAACTAACCACCAAAAAGCTAGAAGTTCAGCTGTGGCTCAAATGGTAGAATACAAGCCTTGAACACCAAATCTCAGGGACAGTGCCCAGGCCCGAATTCCAGTCCTAGAATGAGGACTTTAAAAAAAATGTATTTCATATGAGAATAATGGATACTGAGGAGACAACTAGCCATCTGCTATAATTATATACCTTAATATAGAGACAGAGAAAACAGAAGTTACAAGATGTGAATTTCCTAAGGTTAACAGGTAAAGGCAAATTCCAAGCCATAGTCTGACTCCATCAGCTGAGTTCTTAACTACTACCTATATTCTCTAATTATGCTATTCTCTTCTACACTAACCAAGAGTTGCTTAATTACATTAAAGAAATGTACTTTTTGAAACAATGAACACTTAACTTTTATACCATGTAAAAAAAATAGTTTTATAGTAATTCTTTTTCATCAGTAGTACTTATTTCCTTGAATATTATATTTTTAAGTTTGGACCCATCACTTTATGAGGCTCTTTAGAAACCTATCAATGTAAAAATCATCATAATTCACAAGTATACACTGAACAGAATACCAAAAACTATAACAAATGCTGGTAAATACAGTTCTTATGCAAAACATTTCCAGGCCATGACATCTCTTAGAACTTTCACACATTATATCAATTGACAAATGAGTACATTTAAATCTTTGCTAACAGGCAAAATACACTAAAGAGGGAAGATAAGGAAAAGAAGACAAACTAGGTTGTATAATTATTCAAATCATCTGGTAATTAAGGAAGCTAAAAAACAAACCTGGTTTAAGCTTGCTATATGGTTCATATTCATGTTCCATAGAACAAACAATCATTTTCAAAATTCTATGTACTGCACTACTATCCAAGCGAAAATCAAGCGGACCTATAACAAGGCTTTTGGTAGATTTCTCTTGCACTGATCCCAAATCTTCACTTTTCCCTGAAGAAAACTCTGGTTGATTTGCAGAACCTACAAAAAGTCAAATTCTTTATCAGTATTTTAAGTATCACATATATTAAATATATAGATAGACGGATTCTTTTGTTATTGTTGTTTCACTTTTAGGGCTTTTTTGGATATTCTAATAACTTGAACAAAAATACTATTCATACAAATGAGTACAGTTGATCTTTAATGTCAATTGAATGAAAAAATGTATTTATATTTTCTAAACCAGATGACCCAAAAGCTAAAAAAGTTTTGTCTGTCAGAACAGAAAAAAAATCTATAAATACACACACTTAAATATCAAGTAAAACATATAAAATTAATGATACATTTTTCTGATATGTATAATACTGATACCCAGTAACCGTAAAGTATAATCATAAGGAATTATGAAAATTTAATAAGCTAATACGTTTTTTAAAATACTAAAGGAAGTGAGATTTATTGGAATATATTACAGCTATGTGTGAAATTTTAACAACAAAGTCCCTTGCTGTGTAAGTAAAGCTTAAAAAACAAACTACAACTCAGAGATTGGGGGAAAAAAAAAAAAGCACCATGAGCTGGGTGCCAGTGATTCATGCCTGTAATCCTGTCTGCACAAGAGGCTGAGATCTTAAGATCAAGGTTCAAAGCCAGCCTGGTCAGAAAAGTCCCCACAAGACTCTTAACTCCAAGTACCACTCAAAAACCAGAAGTATGAGAGAAGGAGTAACAAATTCTACAAGAAATGTACTCACTATCTTACTTATGTAACTGTAACCCCTCTGAACATCACCTCAACAATAAATTTTAAAACACACACACATAAAACCAGAAGTGGCACTGTGGCCCAAGTGGTAGAAGTCTAGCCTTGAGCACAACAAGGATCAAGGACAGCACCCAGACCCCTGAGTTCAAGCCCCATGACCAACAAAAATAATAATAATAATAATAAAGCACCATGAACAATATATCCTAATAATAAGTGTAAAAAAGTAAATTTAAAGGTTATTTGACCCAGAAGAAAACTCTTAGAAAAAAACTTTATATTTAAAGCTAATAAATATTAGCCATCACTAATATCACTACTATATAATGTAAATAAGATCCACAAGATAAACATTTGAACACAGCTACCTAAAAGCCAAAATCAAGTAAATAAAATGATTGCTTAGTTCTTAAAAGAACATGTTATGGTCACAGGTTAAATTAAGACAAAATACTATTTTCTCAAAAAACAAATCTTGCACAATTAAGAAAGCAGACACATAAGTGGTAAAACAAAAGCAAGAAAGTGATTGTTACAAATGTCAGTTTCTTCTAGTGACGGAGGAAATTGGTAGCACAGAAAGATTTTAGAAATTTTCTAGTAGCAATGGCTAATTCATGTCTTCTGTGTAAAGACATTATAATTATTTTAAATTCTGTAGATAAATACACACAATTTTTTTGGTATATATGTTATAGTTCAACATTTTGCTTAAAAAGAAATTACTAAAGTTATCTATGCTACAGTAGACTGCTCAAAAAAATGCACAACAAAATTTATCTAACAAAAACTAAAAAACAAAAATTAAACTACTAGCTTCTCAATAACAAATATAAAAATGATCTAGGAAACATACATCGTTTTTATCTTTTAAAAACTACAGGAAAGCTGGGTGCCAGTGACTCACACCTGTAATCCTAGCTACTCAGGAGGCTGAGATCTGAGGATCACAGTTCAAAGCCAGCCCAAGCAGCAAAGTTCATGAGATCTTATCTCCATTAAACAGCAGAAAACCAGAAGTGGTGCTGGAGTTCAAGTGGTAGAGTACTGGCCTTGAGCTGAAGAGCTCAGGGACAGCGCCCAGGCCCAGAGTTCAAGGCCCACGACCGACCAAAAAAATAAAAGAGACCGAGGGGGGGGGGGGGGGCGTCAGGGAAGAATAAAGATAACTAGTGTATAACCCAGTTGCCAAATACATGGAGAAATTATACTGAATTTAATAAACCTCCCAATTGACAACTACAACACTATAATAATTTACAAAGAGCTTAGAACACAAAACAGAGTTGAACATTCATATATCTAATTGGCTACAGAACATTTCTCTCTCAACATCCACAATGTCAAAATCCATCTTTCATTCCAAAAAATGGTTCTTTCTGATTCTAGCCTTTGGAGTTCTATAGTTTTGTTTTTTAGTTTGTTTTTTCTTTTTGTTATTTTTGGTTTTGGTTTTGGTTTCACAGTATTCGAGATTGAACTCAAGACAGCGTGCTTTCTAGGCATGTATTCTACCATTTGAACCATATTCCTCCCAATGTTTTTTTTTTTTGAGAGGGTGCTGGTACCAGGGCTTGAACTCAGGGTCCTTCATTATTGCTTGACTTTCTTCTCACAGCTGATGCTCTACCACCTGAACCATACCACTAATCTGGCATTTTTCTGGTCAAGATGAAATAGAACCTTTTCCAGGGTTAACTTTAAACCATGATTTTTCAGATTTAAGCACCTGAGAAGCTAGGATTATAGGCAGATGCCACCAGTACTTACCTTGACTCTATCTTTCTTAATAGATATCAATATGCACCAAGTAATTAAAAGACCAGAATTTGGTAAAGTACTGAAATTCTAATTCTGAATAAAGTATTGGAAGTTTTTGAGCATCTTATGCAATACAGTTTCGATTATTGACAGAAAAGTGGAAGCAAGAAAGCTACTAAAATCTAGAGTTTATGGTATATTGCATGGGGATTAACAGTCAAGCTAATGAGAACAGGATTGTTTGAAATAGTTTTCTTTTTCAAAAAATGTTATTGTAAAGGTGATATACAGAGGGGTTATAGTTACATAAGTCAGGTAATGAGCACATTTCTTTTGAACAGTGGTACCCCCTCCCAGTTTTTGTCCCCTGACCCCCCAAGTTGTATAGTTCATTTCCAACACAGTGCCTAAGTATCACTGCTAAATTGGTTTGGCTTTTATCCCACCATTTCTGTGCATTCCTTTCCCTTCCCCAGGTAAGATAAACTTAAATACAAGACAGAGTAGAGAAATCAAAAACAGCGACAAAAGGGAATACACCAAAGACAAAAAGAAAAAAAAAAAGAACCACAAGCAATACAATAAAAAAAAAAAACCTCGTCTTTCCATTTCTTGAAGTTTATTTCAATAAGCATCATTTTATATGATCATTTGCACAGTAGTTATTGAGCCCTTGTGATCCTCTCCTTCTCACTTTGTGAATGTCTACAATACTGTTTAATTAATCACACCCAGTGTAACTATTTGTCTCTTACTATCCATTGGTACTATCCACTTGTAGACTTAAAGGCACATTCTAATTATTACAAATGAGGTAAAGCATATGTTTCTTTGGGTGTGGCTTACTTTGCTTAATACAAGTTTTTCCAAGTCTTTCCATTTCCTTATGAATGGGGCAATGTCAGCCTTTCTGAATAAAGCATAGAATTTCATTGAGTACATACTTTTGAAAACAAAATTTGATAAAATATAATAATGTATGAATCCTAGGAACAGAATAGATAGTAAACATGGAGATAATAATTCTGAACCTAGTAAGTTCTTAGATATCTGTGACAAACCAATGTAAATATGTCAAGTACACATTACATATTTAATCCTGAGCCTCTAAAGAGTCTAAAGTAGAAATACAAATACAGGATTCAAAAACACATGAAGGCACAAGGCACTTAAATCCATGAAGAAAACGTCATGTTGAATTTAGTAGTTTGTACAACTACTTAGAGATAATTCTTAGCCAGTAATTCTAGATACTCTGGAGGCTGAGATCTGAGGATCACAGTTCAAAGCCAGCCCAAGCAGAAAAGTAAATGAGACTGTTTATCTCCAATAAGCTACTGAGAAAAAGCCAGAATTAGAGCTGTGGCTCAAGTGGTAAAGCACTAGCCTTTAGCACAAAAGAGGCTCAAGGACAGTATCCAGGCCCTGAGTTCAAGCCCCATGATGGACCAAAAAATAAAAAAGGTAATTTTTAAAAATTTAATTAGAGCTTAAAAATAAATAAATCCAAGGAAATGAATGAGATCACATTGAAGGTGGCTCAGTGATAGAGTGCTTGCCTCACATGCATGAAGCCCCAGGTTCGATTCAACCACACCACATACACAGAAAAGGCCGAAGTGGCACTGTGGCTCAAGTGGTAGAGCACTAGCCTTGAGCTGAAGAGCTGATGGACAGTGCGCAGGCCCGGAATTCAAACCCTACGACTGACCAAAAAAAAAAAAAAAAATGAGCTAACCATAAAAGAGAAAAGGGAAAGAGATGAATCTTACTGTCCAATGAAACCAAATACCAAAGGGAAAATACCAAAGGGAAAAGCAGAAAAGTAGTGCTCTTTTCTCCTCTCTGCCTTAAAAATCAAAAACAAAACAAAACAATCTTTCAAGATAATCCTCTGTGAAATATTTGGCACTTCAAATAAAAGCTATATTTCTTAACTGGATCTTTCCTACTCCCTATTTATACTACTATTCTTAATATGCAGACATGTTTACATCCCTCGTTTAGCACTATCTGTTGGCTTCTTGAGAAACATACTGTTCTTTTTTGCATTCATATCACCAAGCATATCAATTACCACAACTCACTGGGTCTTAGTGGTAATTACCTGTCACAAAGAATTGTGTATATGTGTGTATTGTTGTGTGTGTGTGTGTGTGTGTGTGTGTGTGTGTGCGTGTGTGTGTGTGTGTGTGTGTGTGTGTGTGTGTGTGTGTTACTGAGAATAGAACCCAAGGCCTTGCATATTCTAAGGAAGTACTCGATCAGTGAGCTATATCTCTGGTCCGTGATTCTTTTGGGAAACAGCATCTCACTAGCCTAGCCTAATTTCAAATTTGAAATCCTCTTGCCTCCAAATTCCATATGCTGGGATTTCAGGTATATACAATCATGCCAACCAGAAATCTTTAGTTTAAATATGAAAAATAACAAAAAACATAACTTATCATTTTCAATATAAAAAAGATTGAAATAATTTCACCATATCTGAATGTATACATTAAATATTAATAAAAATTTTAAAAACAGTATTTGCTTCCTAACAAAATAAATTTTATGAACTGACATGTTGAAATAAAACTCCTTTAAACAACTACGTATCATTTTTTTAAAAAAAGAAATAAAATCTATAATCTCTGAAATTTAGTCCTATTTTTCTGATTGAAACAAGAAACTCTCTCTTAATAGGACTATGTAGGCTTCAAAATGCTGGAAGTGGCACTGTGCATCAAAGTGGTAGAGTACTATCCTTAAGCAAAAGAGGTCAGGGACAATGCCTAGGCCCTGAGTTCAAGCCCCACAACCAACCAAAAAATATACATAAGTATACTTAATGCAGAAAAGAAAATGTGTCTTTTTAACAATGCAAAATAAAAACTGACCTAAAAAAATGTTAATGCTAAATACATATGAATATTAATTCACAAACCTATTTTCAGTCAACTATAAAAGGAAAGGATTTAAAATGCTAAAAAAGCCAGGAAAATTCTAATACAACATTAAAATTAAACCATTCCAAAAGTACAAAGGTGAATCTAACAGAGTACAAACCATTCAGGAGCCAACTGACTCTAAGGAGTTACGGTTTTTCAAGGAAAGACAAACATAAGCCAAAAAGAAACTAATACCTTTGACACTAGTGTTTTCCATTGTATAGAGGTAATCCATATAAAAAGCTCCAAATCTTTGCATTCCAGCAATCTCAGTGTAAGTCTCCTGCCAACAAAGCAATGCAAGCACAATGTTTTATATAAGAAACTGTTAAAACCTGTCAGGGCAGACACATATCCTTTTATACATTGTATCAACTCAAAACAATGGCCAAAACAAAACTAGATACAGGTTATCCTATATTCTTTCTCAAGAAAGGTAATGGTATTTCTACCATTGTATGGAGCATACAAAAGACACCCATAATTTTACAACATTTTGACTACTTTATCAATGTCTAGTTAATGATTATCTTTAGTAAGAGTAGATAATACACTCTTGACCTTTAACATCACCACAAAATACCTAATAATGTATACTTTGAATAGTGTTAGTTCTTAAAACTAGATCTTTAACACACTTATTTATATGAAACAGTCCAAACACTGAACATTCACTAGTCTCAATGTTTGTTACTTAACAGTAATACTGAATTGTTTACTTTGAACTATGAACTGATTTGGGGGGGAGGGTAGAAGGGGGACAGTCCTGGGGCTTGAACTCAGGACCTGGGCACAGTGCCTGAGCTTCTTTTACTCAAGGCTAGCACTATATCACTAGAGCCACAACACCACTTCTGGCTTTTCTGTGTATGTGGTATTGAGGAATCAAACCCAGGACTTCATGCCTCGTAGGCAAAGCACTCTACCACTGAGCCACCTTCCCAGCACATATGAACTATGCAAGTAAATCTCAATGAAAAGGTTAACATGTAAAATATACATTCTATTAAATCTTCAAGTAACATTTTCATTTTTTATTTATTCTATAAATTTATTAAAATTCCATAAATAGTATAATCTGAAGTAAAATTTTCAGACTATGCTAAAAGGCATACATGGTATCAAGTCAAATTCTTTCCTTCTCATCAATCCCACACTCTGGGGTTTACATTAACTAATAAAGATAACTCTACATGTTCCTTTCTTGACTATTTGAACAGTAGAACATGAGTAAACAAACTATGTTTATATAAGACATACAACTAAACATTTTCTATGCATTTCTTAATCATTTCTATATGTAGATGAAAGTCAAAAAATTTCAATAAGCAATTAGCTTTTTTCTTTTTTTTTTGTTGGTCGTGGGACTTGAACTCTGGGCTTAAATGCTGTCCCTACACACTTCAGCTCAAGGTGAGCACTCTACCACTTGAGCCACGGGGCCACTTCCAGTTTTCTAGTGGTTTATTGGAGATAAGAGTCTCACGAACTTTTCTGCCCAGGCTGGCTTTGAACCGCAATCCTAAGATCTCAGTCTCCTGAGTAGCTAGGATTACAGGCGTGAGCCATGGGTGCCCAGCTGCAATTAGCATTTCTGAAGACACTATTCCAGGACAAAGAAGGCAAAGACAAGTATTTCCACAATATGTCAACTCAATTGCTGCCTAGAATATGGCTCAAGTATATATCATCTGACCTTATGATGAGTTGCATCCAAGATAAATTCTGCACGGGTACCATTATTTTCTGGGCTTCGATAATCAAATAATGAATTTGTAAGGTATGTCAAACCTTTTGTACTCAGATTTTCACCACAAATGAAGAAACATGCTTCCTGAAAACCAATATAAAATTTTGAACAGGAGTAAAATTCATTATTCTGCTTTAGAAAATAAAACCTTGGTTTTGTTAACACCCATTCACCCAACACACATTATTATAACTTGAGATCTTATCAACAGACAAGGAATGCTGTCTCCATTTCAAGTGTATATTTCATTTCACCAAACCAAAAATAAACTCCTAGTAGTTGCCATAAACAAAAAAAAAAATTATGAACTAGAAAGTATTTGGAACTACTGTATAGGTACTAATTGCTGAGTTCTAGTTTCTTATAGAAAAAATAGACACACACAAAAAAAACCTCCTATCTCAAGACAAAGACAGGAAGTCTTTTTTATATGGTTGAGAAAATTCATTATTTCTGCATTCTAGTCAAAAAAAGAAGAAAGGAAAGGGTTCTTTAAATTATCTTTAAATAGTTGTACAAAGAAGCTCCCATTCAACAGGAAAGAAAAGTTTCTGACTTACAGTTTCACTTCTGTTCATATTTTCTTCAAAATCTTTAACCCCCATAATTCCTTTCAGACACATGGCTCTGCAACCTACAAACCCAATCTGGCAGTCAAAGAAAGGCTCTCCCATCATAAGAGCCTATAAGAAGAAGAAGAAGGTTAGAACTAGAATATGAATTTAACAAAAATGTTACAGGCTTTCCTTGAAGAATTTATAAATTAGTCAAACATCTTTAGGGCTATGGCCTTTCCAAACATACTGTCCTTTGATCATAAACTCTATTAAAGAAACTGTTCCTGCCTGTGGATCTTCAGCCTTTGTATCTGTAATTATTGGCACTTCACGATTATAAATACACACCTAGTATTCACACACATACAAGTTAAATGAAATCAATTCTTGTTATATATTACAATAAAGTATTTGTTAAAGGAATATTTATCTTAACCAATAGTAGTTACTAAATTAGAAACATGAAACTATAAGAATATTTTAAATAAACTACTATGACAGAATGCATATTAACTTTAAGAACATTCAAAACATTAAGATGTTGAAAGCTTACCTCAATTGTAGTTCCTTCTTGTTCCCAACACAATACTTCTTTAGATTTTACTTTTTGGGGACTGTAATAGCTACTTTCAGCTTGCATTTCAGTGAGCTAAGAAATATAGGAATATAAAGTAAATCAACACTACTCTTAAATGGCAATAAACTATCATTTTATGATGACTTGATGAAAACAGCCAATTTTAAGATTCAGGAAATTTCATTATTAAGCAGGAAAACAGGTGCAACAAAACAGGTGTAACAGATTTTTCATGGAACAGAAGTTGAATATGCTGGCCTAACTTATTTAAACCCCATTTAAGTCAGTACTGCTTTAAAAAGTGAAAGCTATATGCAGTAAGAGTGCCAATCATTAAATAAGTCAAAAATTTACATATCTTATAACCCTAATTTCACTTTCATAATATACTCAATATGTCTAAATTCAATCATTTCCAAGAATAATTTTTTAAAAGAAAGCTTTGAATAAATTCAATCAAACTTTCTAGGTTCCTCGAAGGGATGTAGGACCCATAGATGTTCACTGTCAAAAGAGATCTCATCCTATATCTTATTCAGTCATTAAGTACTTACTGAGTTCAGGCTATATAGGAAATACCTACTCAGATGGTCATAAAAGAAAATAAATTACTTTTGCTACCAGGAATTTTATAACATATATTTAGAAGTATCAAACTTCAGATAATTTGAATTACTTTAAATGTGCTTCTCCAAATGCATTATGGCATCCCACTTTAGTATTAAAAAAAAAAATTATGGGGCTGGGAAGGTGGTTCAGTGGTAGAGTGCTTGCCTTGCATGCATGAGGCCCTGGGTTCAATTCCTCAGCACCACATAAGCAAAAAGAAAAAAGCCGGAAGTGACGCTGTGGCTCAAGTGGTAGAGCACTAGCCTTGAGCTGAAAGCTGAGGGACAGCGCCCAGGCCCAGAGTTCAGGTTCCACAACTGGACCCAAAAAAAAAAAAAAAATTATGAAAATCAGTCAAGTATTTAACAATAATGCACCAGTCTTGACTTGTAGTGTGGCAAATGCATGAGTAGTGTAATGTAGCATAACAACAGGAGAAATTGAGTAAGTTGTCCAAAGTCAGTCTGGACAGAAAAGTCCATGTCCAATTAACCAGCAAAATGTCAGACTAGATATGTGGTTCAAGTAGTAAACAGCCAGCTATGAGCAAGAAAGTTGAGCAACAGGTTAGCTTCTAAATAATTCACATAGATCAGAGATTTCCTACACTGGTCTAGTTTTCCAACATATAATAGAATTACTGACTTCCAAATATATATATAGACAATTTTTAACTGGTGATGATGATCATTTTACTAAATAACTAACAGCTCTACTCTTTGAACTGTGGCTCTCAGGTTTACGATTTAAAGGAATCTTAAGTAATTTTATGAATTAAGTAATCTAGTGACACATGAAAAAAAGAGCTAAAAGGCTGACAAGAAATGTACTCAATACTTATGTAACTGAAACCTCTGTACATCACCTTGACAATAAGAGCTAAGCAAGAGGGCTGGAAAGGCGGCTCAGTGGTAGAGCGCTTGCCTTGCATGCCTGAGGCCTTGGGTTCGATTCCTCGGCACCATATAAGCAAAAAGAAAAAAGCCGGAGATGGCGCTGTGGCTCAAGTGGTAGAGCGCTAGCCTTGAGCTGAAGAGCTGAGGGACAGCACCCAGGCCCAGAGTTCAGGCCCTACAACCAGACGCACCCCCTCCCCAAAAAAAAGAGCTAAGCAAGAGCTGAGGCCCTGAGTGTGTGTTTACACACACACACACACACACACACACATATACACTCCCTCTCTCTCTCTCAAAGATTCACTTTAGCTAAGTAAAAGTTGCTAAACCAAAATTAAAATTTTAAATGTTTTATATTTACATTGAGAACCAACTAATCATTCTCATTTTCTATATGTTATACTTCTCATATAATATAATCCCTTATTTCTTGGAGGTTTCTAGCACTGGAATAGTCAAAGTTGGTATTTTAAAGTGAAATTCTTAAAGATAAAACATTGAAATAAGGTTCATTTTTTTTAAACTCAGCTGCCTACAATTACTGCAGAAAAAAAGCAATTAATTGATTAAAAGGACTGAAAGTTACAGGAACAATTTTAAACATTATTGGAAAAATGTTACATTTAATTTGGCATGATTCTTGTTGGACTGATATCAACTCTTCAAAATGCTAATGTAGAAACATGACCTTATTTTCTAACCAAAATATGAACCACAAATTAATTCCATACATTCTTCAAATCCAAGCCAAACAATGAATTCTAATGTTTTCCTCCTAAACATCAACATATTTCCCTTAGACAAATCTTTGAAAAACATAAATGCTTTAAAACTTTAAAAAGATATACTGAACAATAACAAATAGTACCCAAAACTCTATAAATGTTTTATATATATATACTTATCTTAGGATACTCAGATTAATACAATTCTTTCCATCAAAAGATTAGTAGAAATGTACTTGAATAATTTCAAATTTAAAGTCAGCTGGTAAAATTCATCAGAAAAGATAGAACCTAATTAGCAATCATTGACTTTAATCAAAAACTTATGTTTGAAAAATCACAGCCTAGACTACTGAGACCAAAAGGTCTATGGGTAGCATTAAAGCTCATAAGAAGTGACTTAACAGGTCAGCTGGCAGAATGCCAGAATGGATATGGTGAGAAAAAGATAAAAGTAATGTCAAAGTCTCAGTAATTAAGTGGATAATGTTGCAAAATTGAATAAATTGTAGAAACTTAAGGGGAAAGGAAGACTGCAGAGAAAAATCCAGCATTTGTTTTATGTATGTTGTTCAATATTAGTTATGCAAATAATGGCACAAAACAGGCAGTTGAATTCTAAAGCTTATGGTAAAGAATGGAAACACACATTTGATATTCCATGAGCATATTTATAGGATGATCAGATTACATCTATTTCAGGACAAGCAGATAAGATGATAGGAACAAAAACCAAACCTCAAATGCCAGCATTTAAAGGTCAAGCAGACTAAGAGCAAGAGCGAATGATATGAAAAATCACTTACTAAGTAAAAATCCTAACAAAATTTTTTAAGAAAGTGTTCATTTAGTCTTTATCTGATTAATATTATGTAGTAGAAAATAGTATTCAATTGTTTATAGGAGCATTTTTCAAAACTTTCCACACTGAAAAATATGGGATAAGACCCACCAATCCTTCCTTGATGCAGTTATAATCAATCCCTAAGCCACTCTATTCATTCTATAAGTATTTTAGTCCTAGACTCTCTCCAACATTACCACTGACATAATTCTTGATGGTTTCAATATCCACAGAAATTGTCACTCCTAAAGTTTGGTCACTGTTTATTCACCCCCTCTCCTCCAATGATCAAATCCACTTACTTCTTTTCATTGTTCATCTTTATTCAAGTGGTAGAATGAATAAATGACCAGAAAAAAAAACAAAACTCCAGTGACTGGCATGTCTTATAAGCTCAGGATCACTTTTATCTACTAGACCATAGTATTCCTAATAAACATTATTACTACAGTCAAAAATCATGTACTTCGCATTTTCCCTAAGATAACTATATTCCTTTTCTTTCCTCAAGCCTTTATCTTTCTCTCCCAACTTTATCCTGAGTTAAGAAAACTCATCAAAGATGAAAACAATTAAAAGATAATTTCTAAAAGCCTCTCTACCATCCCATCTACCTAATCACTTATATTCATGAATAACCATGGTTCCCGTTTCTATAACTCTTTTTATGATAAAAAATTATTAAAAGAATCTTTTCTGTTAACTCCTATAGCGTCATTTGCATTTTATAAGTGCCTTATTTTGCATGGAAAAATATATAAAATTTGATAGTTTAATTATGTATCAGTGTACAATTCATAGGCATTATATACACTATGTTGTATAACACTTTACATTGTATAACTTTTACATTGTCTCACCAGTTAGGCACTGACTCCCCACTCCCAATTCTCTTAATTTTGGATCTCTATTCTACATTCTGCCACTGTGAATTTTTCTTTTTTTTTTTTTTTTTTTTGGGTCCGGTCGTGGGCCTGAACTCTGGGCCTGGGCACTGTCCCTCAGCTCTTCAGCTCAAGGCTAGTGCTCTACCACTTGAGCCACAGTGCTACTTCCGGCTTTTTTTTCTGCTTATGTGGTGCTGAGGAATCGAACCCAGGGCCTCATGCATGCAAGGCAAGCGCTCTACTACTGAGCCACCTTCCCAGCCCCTGAATTTTTTTCTTCTACATACTTTATAGAAGTATAATTATACAATACTAGTCCTTTCGTGTCAGGCTCATTTCACTTAACAAAATATTCAAGCATTTATCAGAACTTCCTTTATGGCTCAATAATATTCTACCATATGTATAGCATTTAAATTGTTTATACTTTTGGCCATTTCAATTTGTGCTATTATGAAAATGAGTGCACATCGTCTGTATCCCTTTTCCATTTCCTACATATTCACAAGACATCCTCCTTAACAAGCCATTTCTTAAAGATTTCCTTCCCTATAAGGCCTTTCCTGACCATCCAATTTTAAATTGCATAATCTTCCTGTTACTGATACACTCACTATTCCTCCCTCCATTTTTATTTTTATATTTTACTGTAAAAGTATGTACAGAGGAGTTACAGTTACATGAGTAAGGTCATCAGTACATTTCCTATGGGGCATTGCTACCTCTTCCTTTGTATTTCCCCTACCATCCCTTCCCAATCCACCTCCCCAACTCCTCCCCCTCACCAAGTTGTAAAGTTTGTTTTCAACATAATGTCTTGTGCATCTCATTGTTATAATGGGTCAACCTGTATCCTCATTTCAGCATTTTGTTATTTCCCTTCCCCTCCCAAATTTGAAATACACACACACACACACACACACACACACAAGATGCAGGGCACTGACATCAAATACAGTGAAAACGGGGGCTAAGCCGGGCGCTGGTGGCTCACGCCTGTAATCCTAGCTACTCAGGAGGCTGAGATCTGAGGATCACGGTTCAAAGCCAGCCCGGGCAGGAGAGACCGTGAGACTCCTATCTCCAATAAACCACCAGAAAACCGGAAGTGGCGCTGTAGCTCAAGTGGTAGAGCGCTCGCCTTGAGCTGAAGAGCTGAGGGACAGCGCCCAGGCCCACAGTTCAAGCCCCACGACCGACCAAAAAAAAAAAAAAAAAAAAAAAAACGGGGGCTATTCTGTGGAGGAAGAACATCCAAGAGAAAAAAAAATATATCACATAGTACATTTTAAATATGTTAAAAACAATAGCAAGAAAAAAAAACCACTTGTGTCCCTATCTTGGGGTTCATTTCACTTAACATCATCTTATATGGTCATATGTACATAGTTTTTTTTTCTTCAAATTTTTATTGTGATTAAGTGATTATATATTTTCCCAAATTTCACAGTATTGTGGGATAGGGATGCTTAAAGTCACAAACACATTCTAAGTTTCATGGGGCAAATTGTCTATCGTGGTCTATAACATTTATGAGTTCTGTGAGCTTTGACAATACAGTTATTTCTTCCACATTGGGTGTGTGTACATTTCTTTTGCTTTGCATAGCATCAGCTGTTCCCTCTTCCCCACTCGTTCTCTCCCTCCCATCACTGCCATTGAGTTGCTTAGTTTATTTTGATCAATGTCCAGTGCAGCTGATGGGCTCCACTGTTTAATGTTTTTCCCTAATTCCCTCTAGTTCTGTGTCCTCCTCCTGGTTTCTCTCCGGTGTGCTCATATATACCATACATGTGATCAGCAGCGTGGGGTTATTTAGTAGTGATTCGACCAGATGAGTGGAAGTCCTTTGTTTCTTAAGTCTTGTTAATTTTGTCATATCACCTTACTTTTTGGGTTTAACATCCACTTATCAGGGAGACCATGTGCTGTTTGTCTCTTTGCTTTTGGCTTACCTCGCTCAACATGATTTCCCTGCAAATGCCATTATTTTGTCCTTTCTAATGGCTGCTTAATATTCCATTGTGTATAGATACCACAATTTTTGAATTCATTCATCTGTGGTGGGACATCTGGGTTGTTTCCATATCCTGGCTATTCTGAACAGTGCTGCAATAAACATGGAGGTGCATGTGTCCTTGTATCCTGGTTCCTGTTGTTCAGGATAGATGCCTAGAAGTGGTATGACTGGGTCATAAGGGAGGTCAATATTTAGCTTTCTAAGAACCCTCCAGACTGCTTTCCAAAGTGGTTGTATTACTGTACATTCCCACCAGCAGTGTAATGGGGTTCCACTTTCTCCGCATCCCCTCCAGCATTTGTTGTTGGCTGACTTTAGAATGTGTGCCATTCTGACTGGTTAAGGTAGTATCTCAGGATTGTCTTTATTTGCATTTCCTTTACAACCAGGGATGGTAAACATTTCCTCATGTGTTTCTTTGTCATTGTTATCTCTTCTTCTAAGAAGTCTCTCTTTAGGTCCTTTGCCCATTTAGTAATTGGTTTGTTAGATTTGGGGGGATTAGTTTCTTGAGTTCCCTGTATATACTGGATATTAACTCCTTGTCTGATATATTGCTGGTAAATACTTTTTCCGAGTTAGTTGGTTGTCTTTCTAGCTTGGTTGCTATAACTTTAGCTGTGCAGAAACTTTTTATCTTAAGGTAGTCCCATTTTTTTAGTCTCTCTCCAATTTGTTGTGACCCTGGAACTCTGTTCAGGAAGCTCCTGCCTGTGCCTATAAGTTCAAGTGTTTCTCCTACTCTATCCTGCAGTAGTTTCAGAGATTCAGGTTTGATGTAAGGTCTTTAATCCATTTTGAGTTGATGGTGCATGGTGTCAGGCTGGGGTCCACTTTTAGTTTTCTGCATTTGGCCTCCCAGTTTTCCCAGCACCAGTAGTTGAAGAGGCTGTGTTTTTTCCACTGTATATCTTTGGTTCCTTTGTCAAATATCAGCTGACTGTAGGTGTGTGGTTTTATTTTGTATATAGCTTTTGACCTTTTCTGCTTGTCCTAGTCTTACACTAGTAATTGCAAATAAGGGAAACCATGGGACCTATGTTTCTTTGGGCCTGGCTTATTTCACTTAATATTTTTTTCCAAGTCTTTCCATTTCCTAACAAATGGGGCAATGTCATTCTTTCTGATGGAAGCTTAGACTTCCATTGTATAAATATACCATGCATTCTTGATCCATTCATCTACTGAGGGGCACCTGGGTTGGTAAATAATGCTGCAATAAACATAGGTGTGCTGGTAGCTTTAGTATAACCTTGTTTGTGATCTTTGGGGTAAATGCAGCTCTATGTGGAGTCTTTTGAGGAACCTCCATACTGCTTTCCAAAGTGGCTGAACAAGTTTACACTCCCACCAACAATGCATCTGTTGTTATTAGATTTTTTTTAATTTATTTTTTATTGTGAAAATACTGTACAGAGGGGTTAGATTTCTTGATTACAGCCATTCTAACTGGGGTGAGGTGGAATCTCAATGTTGTTTTGATTTTTATTCTTTTATGGCTAGAGAAGTTGAGCATTTCTTCATGTGACTACTGGCCATTCTTATTTCCTCTTCAGAGAAGTTTCTCTTTAAGTCTTTAGCCCACTTATTTATCGGGCAGTTGTTTCTTTGAGAATTTGTTGTTGGGGGATTTTGTTTTTTGAGTTCTAAGTATATTTTAGATATAAGACCTTTGTCCACTATATGGCTAGTGAAGATCTTCTCCCAATCCGTAGGCTTTCTATTGATCTTGCTAGCTATGTCCTTTGCCATGCAGAAACTCTGCAGTTTCATGCAATCCCATTTGTCCAAACATTTTTTTGATTTGTTGCGTTTCTGGGTCTTTATCAAGAAAATTTCAGTCTGTGCCAAGATGCAGAGCTGGTTCAATATACGCAAATCAATTAATATAATTCACCACATCAACAAGAGCAAAGATAAGAACCACATGATTATCTCAATTGATGCAGAAAAAGCATTTGACAAGATCCAACGCCCCTTTATGATGAAGGCATTGGAAAAACTAGAAATCCATGGAACATTCCTCAATATAATAAAGGCTGTATATGACAAACCTACAGCCAGCATTATACTTAATGGTGATAAACTAAAGTCATTTCCTCTGAACTTAGGAATGAGACAAGGATGTCCGCTCTCTCCACTTCTCTTCTATTTAGTATTAGAATGCCTAGCTACAGCAATAAGATGCAAACATAAAAGGGATCCAAATAGGGAAAGATGAGTAAAACTCTCCCTCTTTGCAGATGACATGATCTTGTATTTAAAGAATCCCATGAACTCCACTCCCAAATTACTCAAGCTGATTTGAAATTTAGGCAAAGTAGCAGGGTATAAAATTAACCCTCAAATATCAGTGGCTTTTCTGTATGCCAATAATGAAAACAGAGCAGCTGAAATCAGAAAAACAACTGCTTTTGTAATAGCTCCAAAAAAAATAACAAAAACTTAGGACAAAGAATAAACACAAACATCTCTATGGCTTTACCCAGCTTGTAGCAGTTACAAGACATTCAGAGACATCACAGAGACATTCACTACAGTAAAACCAGGATTGGTTTGTTGTTCTGTCAGAAGAGAATATGGAGAGAAAAGTCTCCTTCATTTAGGAAGGCACAACAGACAGCAAACTATCCAGGGCTACACAGAATGTGAAAACCAACCAAGCATGTAAAATGGGCCAAATAAAATACAGAAGTAAAAGCCAAGATGGTGAGATGTTCTCACATGCACCTATTTTAAATCATGTTCCCAAAAAAATAAATAACCATTCCGTAGGGCTACAAAAAATAAATAATAATTTGTGAAATCTCCACAAAAGCCTTCCCCCAACTCTATACTGATCCAGCAAAATCAACAGAAACATTATGCCCCTATGCTTAGCTGCTCACCATTTTTCTTTCATAATGTCCTAATAAATGGAAAGGAAGGGAAAGATAGTGGAGGAAAAGGAAAGCTAATTAAGTGGACTGTCTTAAGAGAGTACAACAGTGTTAAGAGGGGAAAAAAAGTAACTGAATATAAATGACCTTTTAAATAAATTTTGTAAAAAATGCTAGTGAGCTGTGAAAGAAAAGGCTGGGCACTGTTGGCTCACACCTATAATTCTAGCTACTCAGAAGGCTGAAATCTGGGAATCACTATTCAAAGCCAGCATAGGCAGGAAAAGCTGTAAGACTATCTACAATTAAGCAACAAAAAAAGCTAGTAGAGTGCTAACTTTAAGCAAAAAAGCTCAGGGACAGTGGCTAGGCCCTGAGTTACAGCTAAGGACTGGCACAAAAAAAAAAAAAAACAGGAAAAAGGAAAAAGAAGGGAAGACAAAAGAAGAAAAGATGAGAAAACAAGACAAGAAAAAAGAAAAGTGGAAATGCTCTAAAGATAGTAAGAAATCAAACTTCAAATAATCTATCTGTGAGAGATCATACAATTTCATGAAAAAATTTTAAATTGTATGTTACATTCAATGAGTTAAGCTAGAATCTAATTAGAAATCAAAATGAAATGTTAACAAATATTTTAATAGTAAAAGAAAAACCTACTTTGAAAGTCACAGTTGCCTTCGTACAGTAAAATCCTACAGAAACAATGGGATCCTTCAGAGTTTGTACTTTCTGTTGATGCATGGTTGGTGTAGAATCGTGCCCCAGGTAGTCTTCCTCGCCATCATCATAACTCACAATTGCAGGAACAAATGACCAAGCCCACGATACCCATCCCTGTGGCTGCTCATCATCTAGTTGTGAATACAACTCTTGGCCTTTGTACTGAGCAGGATACTGCATATCTATTCTTGTTTCATCTTCAGCACCTATCAATCACATTAAAGAATTTTAAATCAAGAATAACTAAGAACATAAAATTCTTTAAAATGTTTTTTCTACATCATACTTTCTAATAATAATATTAATAAATCATACATCAATTTGTTGAAATTGGTGGAAATAGTTTAGAATTATCATTCTCCAGCTCTATATATTATACGCTCTCAATTTGTTCCTGTGGGTTAGAGTTAATATTATGCGGTACATAACTTTAAATGTTTAATAAGTACAAAGAATAAGCTATTTCTTTAACATTTCATTATTTTTTAACCTAAAAAAAATCCTGCCTCACAAAAATAAAGCTAATATTTTGAAAGAGTAATTTTGCTCTTGTCTAACTCATTAAAATAGAAGGTTGCCAGGAATAGTGACTCATGCTCATAATCCTAGCTACTCAGAAAACAGATATGAAGGATTGAAGCTGGATGCCAGTCCAAACAGAAATATCTGAAAGACTCCATGTCCAGTTAATTAGCAAAAAGTCAGGCTAGAGGCATGGCTCAAATGATAGAGTGCCAGCCTACAGCAAGTACTAGTACTGACCAAAAAAAAAAAAAAAAAGAAGAAGAAGAAGTGGGGAGAGTGAGGGGACTAGGGGAACAACTACTTCTTTGAAGAAATAAGAGCCACAAACGTCTGTTTTTTCAGATATTTAAAAAATATAAATATGCCAGTTAAGCAGATACCAGACACCAGAGCTGGGTGCCAGTGGATAACACCTGTAAATCTATCTACTTAGGAGGCTGAGATCTGATGATCATGGTTCAAAGTTAGCCCAAGCAGGAAAGTCTTATCTCCAGTTAATCAGTAAAAAGCTCTGTGGTTCAAGTGGTAGATCCTTAGTCTTGAGCACAAAAGCTCAGGAACAGAATTCAACCCACACCCACCCCCCAACACACATACAAAGACACCACAATACATTCATCAGAATGCAGGAAAAAAAAAACCATCGGGACAGTACTGCTTTTATAAAGATACAGAGCAACTGGAGCAATCATTCCTTGATGGGAATGTAAACAAGTAGAGCTATTTGGGGGGGGGGGGGGGGGGGGGAGAGCCGAAAAGGGTCAAATGATGCTACTGAAGTAAGACAGGTAGATGAGGAGACAAAGAAATTAACAATATTTTTAACCAATAGCAAAAGGAGTAGACTTGGAAGCTGAAACAAGGAAGTAAACTGAAAAAACAAGCTCCCCTCCTACCATACCTCTTTTTAGATGCCAATTTACATAACCAGGGAGACTAAAGAGGGGACCTAATTCTGCCTTCTCCTTTGAAATGGTAAAAACCACAAAATTCTTCATAAAAGAGTAGAGACAGAAAGATAAAAGGCCTGGCAAAAAGGAAGCTCTAAAACTCACTCATTTTCCCTATCAGCCACCCCCAAACAATGCTTGGGGATTGCTAGAAGACTTAGACCAGTGTACTGCCAGTACACAAAGTATAAAAGCTACAGGCAAGAAGAGCTACCATTTTGAGTCCTTAACATTCTTTACTTGCATGGGAAATAGGAAATGCTTCTCTCTCCTCCATTTTTCCTTACTTTAACCTGTTACACTGAACTAGTAGCAAACAACAAAATAAAGCATATAATTCAGTCTACTGTATTTGTAAGAACTTTGTACGAGCAACAGTTCTAAATTAAGTTTTTGTTATACTTACCTGTAATGTTTCCTAACATGTCTTTACTGTGACAGGTAGGGTCCTCTGTTTCACAATCTCTAAAATTGCCTATTTCTCCATAGTAAAGAGCAATCCCAAGCTGCATTATACGGATAAACATAGGCAGCTGTTGATCTGTGATAGAAAGTTTTAAACTCTCTACTAAAGTATGAATCTGTATATTGGAGAAACAAAAACACCAACAAAAAACATCTTATAGGAATCTTTTTAGATAAGTACATAAATTTTAAAAGTCTTAATATAAAGTATCAGAAAGCACTGACGCCCCAAACATTTGTCATAATTAAGTCAAAATAATATCTATGCTATAATCTTACAAATTGAGTAAATTTTACTGTATCAATAAACATTAGATAAAAATTAGAAAAAGTCAAATTACAGACACAAATAGAATACTTAGAAGATATATTCATATTAGATTCCCCAGATAATTATTCTACAAAAATATATAACCAATTACTAAAGAATACAATAGCATTTCTACCTCACAATATAAATACACATGATATATCAAATCTAGTAATAAAGTTTAATGATGTCATGTTAGTAAAAGTTTGATCATTCTTACCAATTTTGTTAACTTAAAACAATATAATGCATCCTAAAATTATAAAAGGCTATAACTTATGAGCACAGAAATAATAAAAGTGTTGTTTTCAAAAATATAAAATCACGATGCTGGTGCTCTGCACCTTGTATATGTATTTTTGTAATTTGGGAAAGGGAAGGGATATTGCAGAATGCTTAAATGGGGATTCAGGCTGACCCATTGTGACAACATGTACAGGACACTATACTGAAAATGAACTTTACAATGTCCAGGTAGGGGGTAGGGAGACTGGAAGGCAGGAAGAGTAGGGGATGTACGGAGGGAAGTAATGGTAGGGGGAAAATAAAGGAGGAGGTAACAATGCTTACTATGAAATGTACTCATTACCCTACTCATGTAACTGTAACCCCTCTGTACATTTTTACAATAAAAAAGAATAAAAAATCAAATAAAATGTATTTTCAACAATTCTTCAGACAAATTTTAAATATATTTAAATGTAACAAAATTAACACTAAGAATCAGTGTTTTAAAAATAAGATTTAATTACTACCAAATAGAATATACTGCATCCAAAGTTCTCGTTAAGCAAGAGACATCATGGAGTATAAACACAGCTTCAATGTAATGGCTTCCTGCTGTTATATAAACATGGAATAAAACCAATTAAGCCATAAAGTCAACTTTCTTGAAGGTTTATTTAACTAACTGGTATTTGAGTTTCTATGAAACATGAAAAAGAAATAATGGTAATCATATTTTTAGGGCTTAAGGCAAAAAAAAATTTATATTATCAAGGGAAGAAAGATGTATATGTGAGAGGAAAATAAAACAACCACAAGTTTCATTAACTGACTTAAAAGTCATACTCTGAATAAACTATGTAGAGGTAAGAAAATGTGAGTAAAAGGAGTATGTAGTAGTAGCTAAGCTTTGGGACTTTGTCTTTTCTGAGACAGGGTCTTTGAAAGTAGCCTGAGCTGGCCTAATACTCATAATTATCCTGCTTGAGACTCCTCAATGCTAGAATTACAGATAGATGCCACCACAGGTAGTTTAAGCTCTGTTACATCTTTTTAAATACTTTATTCCACCAACAGCATCTGTGATAAGCAGTTCTGAACAAAACCAGTGATACGAACCTATCCTTAACATGCTCATTAAAAGGGTTTTTCAAGACAATTAAAAAAGGTTAAGCCTCAGCAGACAAATGGAAAAAAAGCCAGAATGGACATTTCAATAATCAAATGGCAAGTGAACAATGTATTTTTAAAAGTCTAACTAATAAATATTAGTTATTTCTTTTGATCAAAAGGCTGGCAATTTTAAAATATCATATTTAAAGCTAGTCAGTGTATAAGCAGCCCCATTACTATTCATGGGTGCATATTATAGCTAAAATCTTTCTTGGAACCATTTTGAAATAGGCAGTACTGGAGTTTAAACTGCTTAATAAGAAATTTACAAGAGGAAAACACTTCCTAAGTAATTCATGTGAGATGTGGCCAAAGTTTTAAGTGCATATTTTCATTTCCTGGGAAAAAAAAAAAACATGCCAAGGATATTTTAAATATCAGGAAAATGTTATGTACCCATATGATCTGCATCTCATAAATGTCATTAAATTCAAAAAACACTTAAACATATGTGAAAAGTTTAAGAAATAATAAAGTATTTAGAGCATTTTGAGAAAGCTTATGTAAGGTTATCAAGGAGATTAACCACATTTAACACATATTTTCTAGAACTAGGATTAGAGCAATGATAAGCCTAACTTAAAAGGACAAATCTTGTATTACAGTATATTTCAAAAAATTTAAAAATAGATATTGGTTGAGCAAAACACAATGCATCTTATATGTAATAATTACAAGAGCCAAAAACCATAGAACAACCACCTTCTTTATGTTGACATTTTTCACAATGAAATATCATGGCTGATCAATTTTGAGAATACAGAGTTATTTATATGTTTGTGCCAACAGCAATTTTTTTCAAGTTCATTTATTTTTAGACTAACTTCTAATTTAGTCAAATCCTAAAATAGATCATTGAATTGGCACTATATATTTTTCCATGCTGAAATAGATTGCATCACTTGTTCAAGGCCAGTCTGAGCAACAGAGTATCCATGTCTCGATACACCAACACACAAACAAAATAAAACATGCTTTTATAATGTAAAACATGCCTATAATGGAGAGGTTGAGAGTGATCATAAACCAAGACCAACCTTGGTCAATCAGCAAGACTCTGCCTCATTCATGTATACATTTATGTATGTAAGTATAACCACACATATAATAATGATATATATATGTTTATATTTGCATGTGCATATTAAATCTGTATGTTTACATATACATACATGTACATAAATATACAAATTTATATTCACAATGCCCAACCTTATAGCAGAGCCAAGCCTAAGAAAATAAGCTCATTTTCCTAAAACAGTATACTATTACATGTCAATACTCTTCCAGGCTTTGCCAAAGAAATCCACTCAAAAGTAAAGGGAAAAAACAATAGATTTAAACAAACAAGTATGCATTATATATCAGTAGCAGGTAAAAGTAAAATACAGAAAACTGAGTACTATCAAGAACAAAACAAGTGGACTTTACATACAAATATAAAGTATAACAAGGCACCATAAAGTATTTTAATAAAATATAATATGAAAATAACTGATTTTGGGGCTGGGAAGGTGGCTCAGTGGTAGAGTGCTTGCCTTGCATGCTCTGGGTTCAATTCCTCAGCACCACATAAGCAGAAAAAGAAGCCAGAGGTGGTACTGTTGCTCAAGTGGTAGAGCACTAGCCTTGAGCTGAAGAGCTGAGGGAACAGAGCCCAGGCCCAGAGTTCAGGCCCCACGACCGGACCCCCCCCAAAAAAAAACTGATTTTAATATTTTAATATTAAACTAACTTAATATACTCACAAAATACCACTGCCAGATATGAAGCAGCCCTTCTATAAGAGAATTTCGTAGTCAGAAGCAAATAATTCAATAACAAAAATGTATTCCACATGAAAACTCACTACAACAGTTCATTCAAGAAGATAACACTATGAAAACTGTTAAAAAACAAAAGATGATATTATTTATGCTTCCATAAAATTATACTTACTAAGCCGGGTGCCAGTGGCTCATGCCTATAATCCTAGCTATTCAGGAGGCTGAGATCTGAGGATCACGGTTCAAAGCCACCCCGGGCAGGAAAGTCCCTGAGACTCTTATCTCCAATAAACCACTTGAAAACCAGAAGTGGTGCTGTGACTTAAGTGGTGGAGCGCTCACCTTGAGCTGAAGAGAAGCAGGGACAGCGCCCAAGCCAAGTTCAAGCCCCACGACCAATCAAAAAAAAAAAAACTATACTTATTAAGAAATATAAACCACTAACTTAGAAAACAGTAAATTTTCACATCCATCAAAAGACATATCCTAGAAAACTCTCAAATACTATAAAAGTTTATTATATTTTGAGACAATCAAGAACTAAAAGTGTGTGTATGAGTGTGTTTCACAACTGACCTTCATTGTATAAACCAGGCTGGCCTAAAAACTCACAAGCTTCATGTGTCAGCCTTTCTATCAGATAAGTTACAGACATAAGCAATTCTGTCAGATTTCCAAAGCTAATACTTCTGAAACTAATAAGCTAACATATTAGAAAGCACACCAAAGTGATAGTTATCTAAGAAAAATAACCAGTTATCATGCTGAACAATTTATAAGGATTCAAACACAAATTACTGATACTCAGTTCACCGAGCATATAGAAATATTTTATAAGGGTATAGGAGACTGATCCAGGGCATTACGCTACTGTTTAATAACTCTACATGAAAAGAGAAACACCATTATTAAACATCTACACAAAATATCTATACTGGACCACATTATATACGCAGTCTAAAATATAAATACCTTAAAACTTTTATAAAAATAAATAACATATATTCATGAGGTTAATTTCTTCTTTGATTTTTTTTATTAGTAGTATACACAGAGCCAATAAACAAAACAAAGACATGCAACTTAACTGCTAGAAATATGAACACTTACTTTAATAATAGATGGCATCTTGGAATTTAGGTTATCATATGTGAAATGCAGGCGAGTTCTGAAGGAACATTTATATAATAAAGGATCCTGGTAAAATTCTATTTTACCACTGGCATTTCGTTTATCAAGACAAACTGTACAATCAGAAAAATTGATAACCTTTCTCAGCACCAGATCAGTTGCTAAAAAGAAAAGAAAAACATTTTAAGGAAAATCAGAAAAAATAATAAACTAATATTTATTGCTATAAGTAGTAACAAAAATGTTGTAAAAAAATTTACTACTATAAGTACTAAAAATAGTAACTTAGGTAGTAACAAAAAATCATAGCAGAAAGTAAGATTCATAGAGCAGTTAATAAATGTCAGACTGTATGCAAAGAACTTATGTTTTACTTCCCTTAAACCTTATTCTTAAACCTATAATCTTATTAAACATTCACAATTGTCCTCATTTTTATATATGGTGAATCAAAGAGGCCTCCAATTTGCAAGTCAACTATAAGGCAAAATGTATTAAAAAATGTACTAGTGATTTCCTTCAAGAAGATGATAAAATAATGAAGAGTTCACATTAAAAATAACTTAAAGCTGGTTGCCAGTGGCTCACACCTATAAGCCTAACTATTCAGAAGGCTGAAATCAATGAATCATGGTTCAAAGTAAGACTTGAGCAGGTTAAGTCCATGAAATTGTAATCTCCAATTAAACACCAAAAAACTGGAAATGGAGCTGTGGAGCATTAGCCATGAACAAAAACAGCTCAGATACAGTGCCTAGTCCCTAAGTTGAAGCCTCAGGACCAATACCAAAAAAAAATAAATAACTTTATATAACACATAATAAATAAAAGTTTATATAATAAATAATGTCACTATACTAAAAATTTTACATTACTCTAAATTTGATCTGTCCAATACAGTGGCAATAGTCATTCAGTGCTATTTAAAGTGATATATACACAAAAATTCAGGTACTTGGTTGCATTAGCCACATTTTGAGTGCTTAGTCTCCATATGTACCTAATGCTACAAATTAGCCAGTGAAAATATAAAACCTTCCCAATATCGCAGGAAGTTCTAGGGGACAACACTACTATGAAAATAATGAAGAAATTACCAATAACAGGAACAAAAATAAGGTAATTGGTGGTAAGAAAACAAACTATAAAAGAAAATCTTAAGTATGTAAGTAATTCTTCCTAACAATTCCTAGGTAAATATCAGATCAAAATCTATTTGGCCGGCGTGTGCACGCGTGTGTGTGTGTGTGTGTGTGTGTGTGTGTGTGTGTGTGTGTGTCTGTGTCTGTGTCTGTGTCTGTGTGTCTGTGTGTGTCTGTGTGTCTGTCTGTGTCTGTGTGTGTGTGTGTGTGTGTGTGTGTGTGTGTGTGTGTGTGTGTGTGTGTGTGTGTGTGTGTGTGTGTATGCCTTTAAGATAAGGTCTCACTGTTTAGCTCAAGCTGGCAGTCAACTTGTCATTTTTCTGCCTCTGCTTCCCAAGTGCTGGAACTACAAGCATCTACCAACAGGCTGAGTGGTATCCAATTTTTTTTTTACAAGTTTTTTATTGTGAAAATACTGTACATAGGAGTTACAGTTACATGAGCAAGGTAATGAGTACATTTCTTATCAAGCATTGTTGCCTCCTCCACTGTTTTTCCCCTACCATTCCTTCCCTCCCACCTGTACTTCACCGCCCCACACACACCCATCCCCCACACCTTGCCAAAATTGTAATGTTCGTTTTTCAACATAGTGTTTTATACATCTCATTGTTACAATGGGTCAACCTGTATCCCTATTTAAACATTTTGTTTTTTCCCTTCCCCTCCCCAAATTATACGGACATCAAATACAGTGAAAATGGGGCTATACCATGGAGGAGGAACATACAAAGCAACAAAAAAATCACATGGTACCTTATAAATACGTTAGAAACAATAGCAAGAAAGAAAAAAACCACTTGTGTCCCTATCTTTTGTTTTCACTTTGGTTTGGTTTGGTTTAGTTTAGTTTGGTTTTTGGTTTTAAAGGAGTGTGGAGTGAGGGGGTTGCTATAATGAGGCAGGTACTATTACAGCTTGAGCATGCCTCCAGACAATTGGTACTCATTATTTTTGAGATAGGGTTTCACTTGAGCCCAGGACAAGCCTGTGCCCCATATAACTACCTTAGATTTCTTGGTAGCTATGAGAACAAGTATATCTAGCTCTTCATTGAGACCAAATGGTTCCTGCTGAGGCTGGCTTCAAACCACAACTTCAACCATCTCAAACTACCAAGAAGCAAGGATTATAGTTGTGACCCACTGACACTTGCCTTTCTGGCCAGTGTTTTTGAAGTTACAAATTATGTATATGCTATGGCCAAGAACTCTGTAAACCAGTAAAACATGTTTTAATCCATTCTATGCTATTTCTAAGTATACCCTGTCATCTTTAATAAATTCAATCTTTTAATTTTCTTTCATTTATATTTTTAAGAAGAAAAAACATCAAGAACATGCATATGTTGAAATAATTATTTTATTAGCAGATAAATCCCTAATGTTTATTGATTTAAAAAACAATATTTGTGACATATGCACATGTAAACAAATTTAAGAAATTACAGGAAGTAATTTCTTCTAGATGTTTTCTTCCCAATCTTAATTAATATTGTTGTTTCCTCTTACATGCTAACTCTTATCCCTCATCTGTGACCCTGTTTTTCTTTTTAAAAAAAAGATATAAAAACAGCCAGGCGCAGGTGGCTCGCACGGATATTCCTATCTACTCAGGAGGCTGAATCTGAGAATTGTAGTTTGAAGCCAGCTCAGGAAGGAAAGTCCATGAGACTCTTATTTTCAATAAACTGGTGATGTGACTCAAATGGTAGAGCAAAAGAAGTTAAGGGACAGCACCCAGGCCCACAGTTCAAGCACCAGTTGCCAAAAACAAAATAGCCTTTTTTATTCTTAATAAGTATTTCTAATATTTTTTAATGTGAAATCTAAAACAAAGTGAAGGTAAAGGTAAGCAGTTGGTCAAATGTTACACCGTTTTTAAAGAGCAGAGGTATAATTTAAACTCTGGTCACCTTACTGAAGAGAGTATGTTCTTACCCACTATGTTAAAGGAATGTGATCATATTTCAAGAATATTCTAAATAATTATTCTTTCAAGGCACAATCTAGTTACACAATACATATCTGATTACAAATCAGAACTTTTTTTTACAATGTTTTCTTTTTTTGTGTGTGAAAATACTGTACAGAGGGGTTACAATTACATGGGCAAGATAATGAGTACATTTCTTATCAAGCATTGTAGCCTCCTCCTGTGTTTCCCCTTCCCATCCCACATCCTCCCCCGGCCCAGAAAATCCTTTCAGTGGGACAAAATTATTAAGCTTTAAAAGTATTTTCCTTAAATATTAAAAGAAAGAGCAACTATCTTTTTAAAATTTAGTTAATTATCTACCTTTTACTATGTAGCAGTACTTTATTCTTTTTTTACAGAACTTTTTTAAGCATGAGTAATTAGATCTAATCCAATGTTTAAATCAAGAAGGAGGCAAGAAAATAGATTAGAGAAATCACATGGGTTGGTATTAGTTGTTAACACTGCAGTTATTCAGACAAGAGGTACTCAACTATTTTGTAACAAGTATGTTACATTCCTTTGTAAATATAAAATGTTGCATTAAAAACAAATGAGAAAGCTGGGCCCAGGTGGGTCATGCCTGTAATCCTAGCTACTCTGGAGGCAAAAAAAAAAAAAAAAAAAGGATTCATTGTTTGGGCTGGGAAGGTGGCTCAGTGGTAGAGTGCTTGCCTTGTATGTATGAGGCCCTGGGTTCAACTCCTCAGCAACACATTAGCAGAAAAAGCCATAAGTAGTACTGTGGTTCAAGTGGTAGAGCACTAGCCTTGAGCTGAAGAGCTGAGGGACAATACCCAGGCCAAAAGTTCAGGCTCCACAACTGACAAAAAAAAAAAAAAGGGCTGGGAAAGTGGCTCAGTCATACAGTGCTTGCCTTGCATGCATGAGGCCCTGGGTTCAATTCCTCAGCACCACATAAGCAGAAAAAGCTGGCGCTGTGGCCCAAAGTGGTAGAGCATTAGCCTTGAGCTAAAGAGCTGAGGGACAGCGCTCAGGCCAGAGTTCAGGCCCCATGACTGGCAAAAAAAAAAAAAAAATTCATTGCATATACTACAAACTAAGAAAAGTTAGGAAAGGGGTGAATAGGAGGGCAGGGGAGATACTGAAATGGGTGACACTGATCAAGATGCATTGTATTCATAAACTGCTTTGTTAAATGGTATCTATTTTGTACAACTATTTTAAGATAATTTTTAAAAATTAATTTTTTAAGTCTGTGGTTACTTAACCTAGGGTTCTATTAACCTTCAGTAAGTATATGCTAAATTTTGTATATATACATGTTTCTCATGCAGAAGACTTACAGCTATTAGATTTACCAAAAGGCCAAAGGCCTCTCCCACCAAAAAAAAAAAAAATTAAGAAATCAAAGGAATCATTTTATTTATGGAAAAATATATACTATTTTCTTGATATTTACTTACCAGAAATATCCATGAAAGCACGATCCCATAATTCACCCACTGTATAACATTCTGCAGAAGTAATGTTGACTGAAAGAACAATATCATCTTCAACATACTTTAGTATGAGATTATTTATAACAATGTTTACATTATTTACAACTCGTCTAATCAGACTCTGTACATACCCTATAAAACAGGAAAAAAAAGACTTCAATTAGCCACAAGTTTACCAATAATTATTTTTAAAAACACTATTGAACTTAGTATATGTGAAAGGTGGGCATTATTTAGTAGACTTTACAGAAGAAACCAAAGTTCAGATCATTTTTTGTTACTTGTCAAAGTAACACAATAAATAAGTAGCCAAACAAATCCTTTACCAGGAAGCTCTGTAATTATCTACTAAAAGAAACCATAAATACCATAGTTATTTAATACCATTATACTACACAAGGTTCATGCTTTCAATCCTTACTACTCAGAAGACTGGAAAATCACAGTTTAAGGGCAGCCCAGACAGAAAAGTCGGTATGACCCCATCTGCAATTAAGCAGAAAAATGCTGATCTGGAGGGAAGGCTCAAGTGACAGAGTACCAGACATGAGTAAGAAAGTGAGAGCTGCCTTTGGCCATGCACTTCTCCACCAGGAACACAGTTTAGTAAATAAACTTCTTTTCCTGTCTGAATATTGTGTGGTGCTCTCTCCATTGGCTATGTAATTAAACCTACCTATTTAATTTACCTTACATATGTTACCATGACCTGGAGGGGTTTTTGCGTCAGGAATGGCACAATTCCACTTTTTTCCATTCCTGACAACCCCCATTTCCAAAAACCGAACTGCCATAAGATGCCATGTAAGACTTTTCACCAATATTATTGGTGGCCTTCACATACACATCCACACCACTTCTCTCTCTACTCTGACCCTGGAAACTGAGGCCGAATCATCTAATGTGCTTTGTTACCAAAGGTGTCTAAACATATTGTTGTCAAAAACTTTGGGTTTTGAGTTTTGCCTTTTTTGTTTGCTGTTGCCTGTTCTGACCATGTGGTTCTAAAATACTGGGTAAAATAACATCATCTTTCTGCTGGAATTCCAAGAGCCTACAGCCATTATTCATTTTTTCATGCTGTAAAACTTAATGTGCACAGTATGCATATGTGTGCACACTTATGTGTGTATGTCTTTGTCTGTGTAAACTTGTTATCTGGCATTGTAATCGTTATTTGGCTTAAATGGTCTGAGATACCTGAAGTTTGTTCAGTTTGGATTTGTAGTTCAGTGCCAGCCAGTCTACATGAAGCCTAGATGGAGTCTGTCTCTTCCAACCTGAAAGATGGCCTCACTCCTGCCTAGACTATCCTGACTACTTCCACCATGGTAAAAGTAGACTGGACTACTGCTTGACTCCATCACATGCAGCTGATAGCTGGTGAAAGATTGATTTGGATTCACAAAGACTAAGACTCTTGTGTGGCATTCTTTCTGTAATATTAGATTTGTAAACCTTACCCAGCCTGACCTGGAAAAGGCCGGCTATGCTGTCCTTCTTATGCTAGTGAAACAGGAAAAGCCTCTTGTGAACTTTGGTTAATTTAGGCATCATTAGGGTCACCAGAAGTCAATACTATATGTACTAAAAGTCTCATCACAAAAAAAAAGAAGAAGAAGGAGGAGGAGGAAGAGGAGGAAGAGGAGGAGGAGGAGGAAGAAGAGGAGGAGGAGGAGGAAGAAGAGGAGGAGGAGGAGGAAGCTGAGAGAATGAAAGACTCTAAGTCCTGGAATAAGTGCAAAAAAAAAAATTAAAAGCCAGGAATGGTGGCTTTTTCAGATTACGCCTGTAATCTGGGCAGGAAAGTCTGTGAGACTCTTATCTCCAATAAAACCACTAGAAAACCGGAAGTGGCACTGTGGCTCAAGCGGTACAGCGTTCACCTTGAGCTGAAGAGCAGAGGGACAGCACCCAAGCCCAGAGTTCAAGCCCCATGACCGACAAAAAAACAAAAAAATTAAAAACCTAATACTAGATCCATATAATAATTATCCTAATCAAATACATTTTAGAAACATTTTTTTTCTTTTTGGGGATGGTACTGGAGATTAAACTCAACGTCTGAAGCTTCCAAGCAGGTGCTCTATCACTTGAGCTATTCCTCTCACCCAGTTTTTGTCTTGGTTTCTGACCAAGACAGCCTAACCTATAATCCACTTTCCTGTGCATCATTTGAAGTTGACAGATGTACCAACACATGCAGCCTTTGTGCTTCTCTAGTTAGCTGGATACTAGTACACACATGGCACCAAGCCATTGGTTGAGGTAGTCTCATTAAATTTTTTGGCTGGGGTAGACTGGAACTGGGCTGGCCAGAAATCTTCCAATCTCTGCTTCCTAAGTAGGACACACTATGCCTGAACTCAAGCTTTTTTTTTTTTTAATAAATAAGCACAGTGCTCCACACCTATAATCCCAGCTACTTGAAAGGATAGGAAGGAAGAATTGTGAGCTTGAAGCCAGCTTGGACTACACAGTGAGAACATGGCTCAAAAACTTAATTAATTAATTAAAAGGCTTAAATGAAGCAATGTTAGTATATGCTGATTACATCATTTATCAGAATATTTAAAAGAAAAATAAATAACAGCAGACACTGGTAGCTCATTCCTATAATCCTAGCTACTCAGTAGGCTAAGATCTGTGAATCAAGGTCTGAAGCCAGCCTAGGCAAACAAATTGAGATACACACTACCAATTAATCAGCAAAAAGCTTAAGTGGAGATGTGGCTAAAGTTGTAAGGCTCAATGTTCAAGTTCCAGTACTGGCACAAATATGTATATATGTATTTAGTTATATTTATATTTAATTATATATATGTACATGTATGTGCATACGTCAGAAAAAAGTACAGAATGAAAGATTCGATGAAAAAAATCAAACCAGGGAGGAGGAGGATTGGGGGGCGGGGGGGAATGGGAAGGGATGGGAAGGGGAAACAAAGGAGGAGGCTACAATGCTTGATAAGAAATGTACTCATTATCTTGCCCATGTTATTGTAATCCCTCTGTACAGTATTTTCACAATAAAAAAAAATAAAAATTTAAACAAGGGAAATATAAAGCAAACTAAAAACAATGGCTTTTAAAATCCTGAAACAACAAAAGTAATAGATGAACATTCTTTATCTCCATGGCTTGCTTAGAATCACCCAAATTTGTCTTTTGATATCATACAGAATACTTTATAACCTCTCAAGTTTCTTACATAAAGGAGATATGTATATCTGACTGAGAAACAACAGAAAATATAAATGAAAATAATTAAATGTAAACAATATTTTAAAAGACAACAAACATAGCTACTAAGAGGCCAAGATTTGAAGATTGCCATTCAAAGGCAGAAAAGTCTCTGTTACTCTAATATACAGTTAACCAGCAAATAGCTGTAGAATTGTGGCTCAAGTGATAGAGTCATGAACAAAAATGCTAAGAAACAATACCCAGGCCCTGATTTCAAGCCCTTGTACCAGCATACATATATTAATTTAAATAAAAGAAAAAAAGATAAAACTTTTCACTTTACTCAAAAGCATTTTCCACTATAAAAGCTAATTAAAAGGCAACTAAAACTTTAGCTACTTCAAGAAATAATCACAGATATGTATTCTTTGAATCAGAACTTTCACTGGACAAAAATCAAAAACAACTTTTGTTGTTTTGTACTAAAGGTTTGCTACCGTAACATGTTTGAAAAATCATCTCCTCTGAATTGAAGATGTAGCTAAGTGATTGCTTAACATGTACCAAGACCCAGGACTGAATCCTACCACCACACACAGACACATGCACACATACACACAAACACACACACACACACACACAAAGACACAAACTTCACTCATTCTCAATAGATGCAAATAAAGGGAAAATATTAGCAGCTTTTAGAGTGCCAATTCTCATATACTATGAATTAATATATAAGCAATAATTAAGTTTAAATAAACTTTTATAAGTAAATGTTGAAAAACACTCTTAATGATTTCCAAAAGAAATTTTAAAAATAAAGTTTCTAGCCCAATAAAACATATTACTCCATGTTTTTAACCTGGATGTAAAAAACAAAAAGATTCTAAAAAGTCAGTAAACATGAATATTTGTTTTCTCATTATTGAAAAACCTGAATCATTAGAGAACTTGTAAAAAGTTAAGAGGTCTTAAGAGTTCATGAATCTCATCTTTCAAGCAAAGTGAAGGATAAGTCTGAAAATATATAATGCAAAGTAACAAACATAATAACCATTGACACTATGTGTGGATTTTTCATCAATTTTTAAGATTTGCTCCTCAGTTTCATTATAAAACTGACCTATAAATTGGGATGTACAAATCAATTTGTCAAAATTTTAAAAAGCATCCGAAAAAGAACTAGTTCTGTAGACTATGGATGTTTCCTTATTAAAGTGCAAAGCCAAACTATGTTATAGGGACTATCAATGGAATAAATTATATACTACCTCTACAATCCCTCATAATAACTTGTTTCTAAGCTAGCTACAAGAACTTATCAAACAGCTCTAAGAGCACTGACCAATTCTTAGATACTCCCTGAGTTTATGATTAGTAATGTAATAATCTAGATCTACTCCACAAGTATCTGAAAATGGACTGCTAATGTAATAATGTCTTCTTTTATATACCAAAATATCTGACTTTCCTTTTTTTTCATTCACAAAAGTGGGCTGGATTATTTTTATGAGCTAGCTGGAATCTATGAATGGGCTTCAGCAGGTATATGAATACCTTACAATTTTATGACAATTTTAATGTCAATCTATACCTTTTCTCACTGATTTTCAAGAATGCATGACATACATAAAAAGACTGATTTCTCTAAGGAGGAGGCTACAATGCTTGATAAGAAATGTACTCATTAGCTTGCCCATGTAATTGTAACCCCTCTGTACAGTATTTTCACAATAAAAAAAAAGAGAAAAAAAAAGACTGATTTCTAAACCAGAAAATCTGAGATAACTTTTTATTCCAAATTTTAGTGAGTCTATGAATTTGATTAACCAAGTTAAGAAAGTACTATGTAGTTTTACAGTCCAGGAAACAGGTAAATGCCTATTGTGAATCAGACATTGTACTGCACCAGGAGCCAGCAACAAAACCTATTCCATCTAGTTTTGTAGATAAAGTTTTGTTAGCATATGGCCACATTCATTATTTTATTAATCATCAAAGGCTACTTCCACAGTATATCAGAAAAGTGGAATAGCTGTAACAGAAAACACATGGCTTACATAATCTAAAATATGTACTAACTGGCTCTTTACAAATGTAGTACCTATGCTAGATGAGGAAAATCAAACATGACTAAGTTACAACTTCTAGCTAAAAAGGGCACAGTTTAACTATATCCGAAATATTTCTATTAAGTGAACACAAGCGCGCACACACAGACATAGACAGATAGATAGACACACACACACACACACATACACAGGAGTAAAAGGGTATGGAGAAAAAAAAACTAATTATATAACAAAATCTAGAAAGAGGAAGTTATGCAGTAGAACAAATATTTATCTCTGAACTTCCCAAATGACAAAAGTGAGAAATTTTCAAGAATATTAGGAATTTTAAAAACTTAGCATTTAACTGAGAGATCCTGAAAAAATTAAAGGATAGCCACACACCAGTGATTCACACCTTGCAATCCTAGCTACTCAGGAGGCTGAGATCTGAGGATCACAGTTCAAAGCCAGCCAGGCAGGAAAGTCCATGAGACTCTTATCTCCAATAAAACCACTAGAAAACCAGAAGTGGCGCTGTGGCTCAAGTGGTAGAGCATTCACCTTGAGCTGAAGAGCGCAGGGACAGCATCCAAGCCCAGAGTTCAAGCTCCATGACCAACAAAACAAAAAGACAAAAAGTAAAGCTGTGGCTCAGAGTAGAGCACTAGCCTTGAGTGAAATAGCTCTGGGATAGTACCAAGGCCTAGAGTTCAAGCTCCAGGATTGGCACAAATAGAAAGAAAAGAAAAGAAAAGAAAAGAGGAGAGGAGAGAGAGGGGAGGGGAGGGGAGGGGAGGAGAAGAGAGGGGAGGGGAGGGGAGAGGAGGGGAGGGGAGGGGAGGAAAAGGAAAAGGAAGAAAAGAAAAGACCAGAGGGGAGCAGAGGAGAGGGGCAGGGCGGCGAGGCGGGGAGGGGTGGTGAGGAGGCGAGGCGAGGAGGAGGAGAGGAGGGGAGAGGAGGAGGAGGAGAGGAGAAGAGAGGAGAGGCGAGGTGGAGGAGAGGAGGGGAGGCGAGGAGAGGAGGAGGAGAGGAAGAGGAGAGGAGAAGAGAGGAGAGGCGAAGAAAGGAGAGGAGAGGCGAGGAAAAGAGAGGAGAGGAGGAGAGGAGGGGAGAGAAGGAGGAGAGGAGAGGAGGAAGAGAGGAGGAGGAGAGGAGGAACATTGCCTTTCAGATCCATTTCACAGAAAATATATAAGCAACCTAAAAATTACTGCCTCTTGTAATGTCCTTCAATAAATGTGAAATTTGGAAAACAGAGAACTGAAGTGAAACATGCTATCACTTTATACTGGCAGATAAAGTGCAGAGGATACAGATTAGTAGAATAGTTTAGTGGTAGAACACTTGCCTAGTAAATGTGAAGCCATGAGTTTGATTTCCAGCAAAGGAAAAAAAAAGCAGGAAATATAGAGGAAAACATGAATGAATAAATAAGACAGCAAACTTTCTATGTAGAAACATAAATAATCTTATGGAAAATGCTAACCTAATTACTAGAAGTAACTGAAGATCTTGGACTATAAATCATGAACTTAAAATGTGATTTTATATATAACACAATGAAACTCACTAGACACTTTAAAAGGAGAGGAGAACGTAGAGGAAAGAAAGTAATGCAGGTAGGGTGCATTTGACCAAACTACTGTACATTATATATCTATATGTAAACAATCTCAATGAAACTTTCTACAATTCATCCTAACAAAATTTTTACACCAAAGCTTTTCATATCAAGAATAAAATATAAGGGCTGGGAAGGTGGCTCATGCATGAGGCCCTGGGTTCGATTCCTCAGCACCACATAAGCAGAAAATGCCGGAAGTGGCTCTATGGCTGAAGTAGTAGAGCGCTCGCCTTGAGCTGAAGAGCTGAGGGACAGCACCTAGTCCCAGAGTTCAGGGCCCACAACCAGCAAAAAAAAAAAAAAGAATAAAATATAAATGCTTCTAGTCAAATTCAAATTTTTGATATCCCCAGTAAGAAATATTACATCAAATTTCTGCAAAAATTTCTTGAAATATCTTTTACTATATGTCATTCTGCTATAGAGGTTTTTTTACTCTATACCATATATTGCTTAAATGCTTAGTATGACTCACTAATTTGTTTTAGAAATGCAGCAACTGATCAAGATCCATAGCCTGAAAAAGGCTGTTCTAGATACCAAGAGTACAAAGAGGATGTTAGATATTAATTTGCATCCTCTTCTTGTTAGAAAGAAAGTTATCCATCAAATGAATAAAACAAATGCCTATTTACTGACAACACCAAAATTTTTCTCAAAAATTTTCTGGCTCTATATAAATGTGTAAACATTAACTTCAAATTTGCAACCACATATCTTGGAAGAAAAAACCTTGCCCTAGAAAATTTTGAAAATGAGAATTTATTTCTATCATGAAAGAACTTTAATATGATTCACAGGCAGAATAAGGTTGCCAAAAATAAGTCCTCTAATAGCTATATTGGTTACCCTTTAAATAAAATGATTTACCATTTATCCAAATGGATTCTCAAATTATCCCTCTTTTTCCTTTAGCAAAATTAAGCTTTAGCTGCTCTAATTCCCAGTATTTGGTCAATCCCCTAACTATGATTTATGTCTACAAAAAAAGGCTATAAGTCTTCCTGTTAGGTAAAGTAGAAAAGCACATGCTAATCCAAAAGCTATCTAAGTAGCTCAATTAGAGCACAATTATGTTTTATGCCACTAAAAATAGGACAATTGTCATAATTCTATCAGTCTAAATACTAACATGGCTCTTAACTGTCATTAGAAGTATAGAATCTGTATTCAATACTGCAAATTAGATTATAGGAGGTTTCTAACAATGAAATCAGTTAGTGACAACAGCTTTAAATTTTTATTAAGCAATATTTCTCAGGAAAAACAAAATATGGAACAGGAATCAACAATTAAACCCACAATTGACAAAAGGGAAGAGGAGTATGAGAAAATAAAAAAAGAAGAAAGAGAGAGAATAAGCAAGAAAATCAGCAATGTCTCTTGACATGATCTAGTATATTTTGAGGAGATTTGTGATTAAATTTGGAGAAATGAAGTTATTGCAAATTTAATAATTAACAATAAGCTACCACTTTAACTTATATTTTAATTTCCCACGAATTTTCCCCAAGGACTTGTTTGAAAAAAAAAAAAAGAAAACAAAACAGTGGAAATTTTTCTGGAACCACCAAACCAAGCAAAATTGAAAACAGTTTTTAAGAGAAGAACACCTTCTCCTACTTATAGAATTGATCTACCAAATTTTGTTAGGTACAATTAGAAAAAACACAAATCAGCACTAACATCACTAAAGCACAACTGAAAATGTTCACTTGAAAAGTAATAGTAACTTAGAATCCATATTTTAATGGAGGCAAGGTCTAACTTTAGTCTCTGACAATAGATCAATAGATGATGCCTGAAGACTGTCAAAACATAACCAGCAGATAGCTTCAACCCTTGGGGGGAAGGAAGGAGTGGGCCCAGTGGTGAAGATATACCAATCTTGAACAAACCTCACAAAAAAAGGCATAATTTACTAAAACAAATCTAAAAGCAGTGACTGATAATTCTTCTAACTGTAAAAAGGCAATGATGAAATTTGTTGACTGAGCTAACATGTAATGTTTTGCATTCACTAAATACTTGCCAAGGGACTAATTTTGGCAAGCTATTATTGTCACTGCTAAACAAAAACATCTGAAAGCCAGGTGCTATTGGCTCACACCTGTAAGACCTCAGGAGGCTGAGCTCTAAGGACTGCAGTTTGAAGCCAGCCCATGCAGCAAAGTCAATGAAACTCTTAACTCCAATTAATTACCAGAGAAATGGAAGTGGAGTTGTGTGGCTCAAAGTGGTAGAGCTCAAGGACATTGCCCAGGCCCTAAGTTCAAGCCTCAGAACCCACAAAAATAAATAAAATAAATAAAAGAGATATTATATAAGGTCTCTTTTAGTTATAAAATGTTATAATTCATAGTGAATTTCAGACTTTCCAAAATTTTAGAATAACCCCATGTCTTTTCTCTATAATCAAATAAGAAAGGGAACATAGAGACTATAGTTGCTACCAAGAGAAAGGCTATTAGAAAGAAACTCAGAGACTAACTTTACTACCAAAAAAGATCAAAATCTACTGAAAGGTATTTTGAGGGATCTAAACCTAACATGTTCTAAAATCAAATGGTAAATGCACATGTATATATAACCTACAAGTTTTACAACAGTAAAAACTAAAAAGGTACATTCTACTAGACTAAAACTATGATCAGTAATAACTGAAATTCTAGCTTTTCAAATTCATTACAAGTTACCTGGTGGCAAATCAGGATCTGTCGGAGCAGACTGTTGAACTTTTCGAGGTTTTATTGATGATTTTGTGTTCTCTGAAGTACTACGGTTAGTAGAATTAGAACCACAGCTTTCATGGTCATCCTATTTTTATTTTAAAGAAAGAAAAACAAATCAATGACATTCAAGACCCAGAAAAATTTTATTTAATATGTGAAGTTTATGGATTACTATGGAAGATAATTAGGTAGATTTCTAACTTTATTTTTTAGTGCTAAAAACATACATTAGTTCAATATTTGCAGTCTCAAAAAACAGTATTGCATTTAAAAACCAGTAGTACTTAGGGGAGGAGTCCAAAGGTGTAACGCGCCTGAACAACTAATGTACTGTTTAACAAAATGAATACCAGGATACTGAAACAGGTTTTGGGGGAGAGAACAAAAGAGGGGACATGAATGGAGGAAGAGTGAACAAATGCAGTCATTATATTCAATGTACATTATGTAAAAAATAAACTATGTAACTTGAGAGTAGGGATATAGGATGGGGTAAGTGGGGGAAAATAATGAAGGAGTGATATTGATCAAGAAGCATTTGTACTCACAACCTGATTTAGGGAATTGTAACCTCTTTCTACAACTACTAATCAAGAAAAATACCTTTTAAAAAAATAAAAGAGCCGGACACCGGTGGCTCAAGCCTGTAATCCTAGCTACTGAGGAGGCTGAGATCTGAGGATCACGATTCAAAGCCAGCCCAGGCAGAAAAGTCCGTGAGACTCTTATCTCCAATTAACCACCAGAAAACTGGAAGTGGCACTGTGGCTCAAGCAGTAGAGCGCTCGCCTTGAGCTGAAGAGCGCAGGGACAGCATCCAAGCCCAGAGTTCAAGCCACATGACCGACAAATAAATAAATAAAATTAATTTAAACTAGATCTTCATCTAGTAGCTGGTATCAAAACAAACTCCTTGACAATATCCAATGAATTCTTATTTATGGCTTTAGCAAACAATATTAATACATATTAATTTAAAAATATATATGCTACTTTTAAACAACTATCTTGCCAGGAACTGGTGACTCACATATACAATCCTAGCTACTCAGGAGTCTGAGATCTGAGGATCATAGTTTGAAGCCAGCCCAGGAGACTCTTATCTCCAATTAATCACCAAAAGTAGAACTGTGTGTTGCCCAAGTGGTAGAGTATTAGCCTTGAGCAAAACATCTCAGGAACAGAACTTGGGCCCTGAGTTCAAATCTCAAGACCGGTATAATAATAATAATTATCATTTCCATCTCAAAGCATGGAATTAAGCTTCTCCCATTTGTTTATATGTTAAATTCCTCATAATATAGATTAAAGCTCACTTCTTAATCAACTTTAATGATTTGTGTGTTTGTGGGGGGGGGGGGGTGGGGGGGTATTGAGGTTTGAATTCAGGGCCTTGTGCTTGCTAGGTAGATGCTCCACCACTTCAGTCAAGCCCTTTAAAGGTTAATTTTAAACATGTTTAGAATCTTTTGGATCTCATTTAACAATGTTTCATTTTGATTTATACTAGATAGGATGTTCAACTGAGTTTTGATATGAGTAACATAGAAACTTAAATCAGAGAAGGCAGAAGACAGTGAATGTAGTCAAAGTACTTTATATGAACATCTGAAAAGAAAACCATTAAACCTGCTGAAATTGATCAACTTGACCAAGGGTGACTATGCATATGCATGTATACGCTATGTATGTACAAATGTGTGATTGGAAATGTCACAAGGAAACATACTTGCACCCCATTATATGCTAATAAATTTTTTAAAAAGAAGTATTTCTAAAACTAACTGATAAAAAGATATAAAGATGGCAAAAGTAGAAATGGAACTTGTTAATGTACCACTATTTATATTTGACCTTTAAATTATACTCATATTGATTAAAATAATGAGAAAGATAAAAAAGAAAAAAGAAAGTTAAGTAACGTATTTTTATAAAACTTATCCTTATTTATAAAATGCAAAGTTATAATTATTTTCCTATCCTGATTCAATTGATGATTTGCTAACTTGTAAGACCTGTGTTCAAGGATTTCAGAACATACCAAACACAAATACAACTATTTCTAAAACAATAACAATTGTTTATAATAGGGCACAGAGTTATTCATTAGAAAAACCAGATAGGTCAAGCCTTTCAAATACAATGAAGAAGGACAAGGAATAGTGGCTAATGCCTGAAAACCTAGCTTCCCAGGAAGCAGAGATTGAGAGAATTGAGATTGGAATACAGTCTGTACAAAAAGTTCCTGATCCCTATCTCAATCAATAGCTGGGAGCAACAATAAATGCCTATCATCCCACCTAAGACAAAAATAAAAAGGAGGATCACAGTTCAGGCCAGACTGGGTATAAATGAAAAACCTATACAAAGTAACTGAAGGAAAAAGAGCCAAAGGCATGGCTCAAGTGGTAGCAGGCCTATCTAGCAAATGTAAAGGCCTGAGTTCAAACCCCAGTACCACCAAAAATAACAAAAAAAAATGATGTGACATAAGAGACTATAATGTAGAACCTTAGTGGTAGAGCACTTGACTAGCATACACAATGCTCTGGGTTCAGTTCACAGTATCAAAGGAAAAGCAATTTGAATATAATGTTTAAGTTAAGGATGGACACTAAATGGGGGAAGAACCAGTAACAAAAGCAAACAGTATATTACAAGGAAAGATGATTAGTAAACTAAGGCCAGATATGCAAGTATGGAAATATCCCAATGAAATCTCCCTTGTACAACTAATATATATTTAAATTTATTTTCAAAAAATATGGCCAGCGTATATGTAATATTTATGCTAATTAGAAATCTTCAAAAATATTCATGCTAATTAAAAATTTTTTCAAAAACAAACAAATACACCAGAGTACACACAACAACAGAAGTTAAAGGCATAGAGTAGTTCAATAAAAACAGGGTACTGCCGGGCGCTGGTGGCTCACGCTTGTAATCCTAGCTACTCAGGAGGCTGAGATCTGAGGATCACGGTTCAAAGCCAGCCCGGGCAGGAGAGACCGTGAGACTCCTATCTCCAATAAAACCACCAGAAAACCGGAAGTGGCGCTGTAGCTCAAGTGGTGGAGCGCTCACCTTGAGCTGAAGAGCTGAGGGACAGCGCCCAGGCCCAGAGTTCAAGCCCCATGACCGACAAAAAAAAAAAAAAAAACAGGGTACTAAGAATGATAGAGATATAGTCAGTTCTCATAGTTGAACTGCTTCAGGATTTGGTAATTAGTAGGAGGCTGTTCAGCAAACTGTAAGAAAGGAGATCTAGTGATTCCAGTAGAGGAACAAAAACAAACAATATATGAGTAGCTCCAAAAGTAAATTCCAATTTAAACTGGAATTAACAAGCCTAGATTGTTCTTTAAAGAAAAAAAGAAGTCCGGGCGCCAGTGGCTCACGCCAGATCTCAGGAGGCTGAGATATCAGGATCACCGCAGTTCAAAGCCAGCCCAACCTAGAAAGTCCATGAGACTCTTATCTCCAATTACCCACTAGAAAACTGTTAAGTGGTACCGTGGCTCAAGTGGTAAAGCACTAGCTTGAGCTGAAGAGCTGAGAGACAGCGCCCAGGCCCAGAGTTCAAGCACCATGACGGACAAAAAAAAAAAAAAAAGGCATTAGGAGGCTAGGGATGTAGCTTGGTGGTAAGTGCTTGCCTAGCATACATGAAGCCCTGGATTCAATTCCTCAGTACCACATCAACAGAAAAAGCCAGAAGTAGTTCAAGTGGTAGAGCACTAGCCTTGAGCAAAAGAAGCTCAGGGATAATGCCCAGGCCCTGAGTTCAAGCCCCAGGACTGGCAAACACACACGCACACACACAGAGGCATTAGAAAAAAATGTATATAGGAGAGTAGTAAGTCACACACATGCGCGCACACGCGCGCGCGCACACACATACACAGAGGCATTAGAAGAAAATATATATAGGAGAGAAGTCACACACACACACACACACACACGCACACACGCACACACACACACACACACACACACACACGCACGCACACACACAGGCATTAGAAGAAAATGTATATAGGAGAGTAATAAGTAAAAGCACCTGGCAACTTCTGATGCCATTTTAAAGTAAAAAACAAAAACAAAACAAAAAACACAAAAACCTTTAACTTAAAAGAAAAATCATCACAAGAGCAAAGATACCAACAGGAAGGGTGAATGGTGGTACTCCATTCATCAATTCACTAATGATTAATTCCCAATAATTTTATAATAGTATAATACTAGTGATAAACTTAGTTCATGCATTTCATCCATATGAACCAAAATTCCAAGAATAAAAATAATAATCACTACATCTGCCAATATGATAGAGTACCAGAGACAAAAGCTACGGAAACCTCCTTTAGCAAAAAAAATTTTCAATATCACACTTTAGAGAATATATTAACAAAAAGTGAAACTTTTACAAATCAGCTTGGCTTCAAATGTTAGTGATACAGTGTGGGGGGGAGAAAATATTTGATTAAAAATTTTTAAGTATTTGATGGGGCTGGGAAGGTGGCTCAGTGGTAGAGCACTTGCCTTGCATGCATGAGGCCCTGGGTTCGATTTCTCAGCACCACATAAGCAAAAAGAAAAAAAGCCAGAAGTGGCTCTGTGGCTCAAGTGGTAGAGTGCTAGCCTTGAGCTGAAGAGCTGAGGGACAGCGCCCAGGCCCAGAGTTTAGGCCCCATGACCGGACCCAAAAAAAAAAATTTTTTTTTAAATATTTGATACCGTAAATCAAAAGAACTTTGACTCCACAAAACAATCTTTATCACATTCTTTTGTTGTTGTTGTTGTTGGTTGTGGGTCCTGAACTAAGGGTCTGGGCTCCATTCCTTGCTCAAGGATGGCACTCTACCACTTGAACTACTTCTGGAACTACTGAGGAATTGAACCCAGAGTTTCATATATAGCACCATTTCTGGGTGTGGGGTGGATAATTGAAGATAAGAGTCTCATTTACTTTCCTGCCCAGCTTGGCTTTGAACCATCATCCTCAGGTCTCAGTCTTCTGCATAGCTAGGATTATAGGCATGAGCAACCAGCAGCACCCGGCTAATCATTCATTCTTTAAAATGG